TCACGACGGTCATCTGGTACACATTTGGTGCACATCTGGTGCAGATCAGGTGCAGATTTGGTCAAATCAGGTTCAGTGTGTCTCTTAGTAGCTATCAGCTAGGGTTGCACTAATTGCTTATATGCCTGCTTTGTCATATTATCAGACAGTATCATCGATTAAAACACTGAAATAAATTGATAAAATTAAGATATTTGCTGTAAAAGAGATAAGGTGCAGATTTGGTCAAACCAGGTGCACTCGCCGGATGGCCCGTCGTGAAAACGGCTATTAACTTCGAATCCGACCGATGGTCATCGATGACAGGTTAACCCGGCACCGCCTGGGCTATTTCCGTACCCACGACAGCCTGGGGGGGGGGGTCGGATCCGACCCCCCCCCCTGTTATCTCGAGAACCAATGGTCGTATCGAGCCCCGCGAGGCGGCGTTCGAAAGGTCTCTACGAGACCTTGCCAAAGCACTCTTAAGATTTTAAGATTAAGGTCAACTTTCGGGTCAAGGTCAGGTCAAAGGTCAAATTCAGGGGTTTTGCATGATTAGGCTTACGGACAGCGGAATCGATAGCTGCTGCTCGAAACTAACCACAAATGACCTCAAAGACCTGGTGAAGGTACCATGTGCGTATAGGGGTCATACTAAGTACGGGTCAAGGTCAGGTCAGGTCACGAAAGGTCACGGTTTTCACTTTCTGCTACATGGGCGTGCGACACATGTTTTATGGCTTATTTTTCACGCCAAATCCGATGGTAATGGTTATATGTGACCCCAAGTCACTGTGCTGGTGATAAGTGTGCATTGAAAGCATAAAAATCGTTTATACCATACATAACTAAACGAGGGCTAAGAAAAAAAGTCAATTTTTCAACTTTTTATTTTTGACATAAAAATGTTTTTTTCTAGACGAGCTTTGTCCCAGGAATCTAGTGGTGCCATTTGTTTTCATATGCGATGTTTAGAAGTGCCTCTAATTCGCGAAAATGCTTATGACGTCACCATGCCCTACGCATGTTGGAGCTATTTTTTACAATTTGGGGGTCAAAAATCAAGATAGAAAGTTGAAATTTGGGACATCTAATGTTCTAATAGAGCTCTATAACATATATTCCGGTTTTTTGGAAATTTTCAAAATTTTGGATTTTATTAGCTGTTTTCCCAAAAATATAGTTTTTTGAATTTTTAGGGGTGAAAAACGCATTTTATGGAAAATCCGAGATAGCCATTTTAAAGAACTCGTTGAGCTGCGTCTTTTCATGTCCGTAATTTGGAATTTGCTTAAAACCTCGATTTTTGGCGATTTTTTAAACATTTATCATTTTTTGACTGAAAATGCCATGAAGTTACATCACTAAAATCGATATATCTCAAAAATTTTTTGAAAATTTTTCTTAAAAATTGCACAGAAGACGTCAAATTGATGGGGGAGAAGGTATGACAAGTTTCAAGTTGATAGCGCAAGCGGTTCATGAGTTATTTAAGAAAAACGGAGGGGGGGGGTCGGATCCGACCCCCCCCCCCCCCCAGGCGGTCGCGGGTTAAAAAGGCAACGCTGCGACCCGTATAAATCTAAGGGCGCCGTTGTATAGTTACAAGCGTTGTCAGGCTCACCCCTTACTGACCTGAAAGCGGTCATCCGGGCAGACCTCCTGAAAGCTGTTATGTAGCCACGCTAACCTCCCACTGACCTGAAGGCCGTCTTATAGCCCACCTGACCCCCGCATTGACCTGAAGGTTGCCATATACCTTGACCGACCCCTCACTGACCTGAAGGTCGGTCATCAAGAGGCTATATACCGGGACTGACCCCCTCACTGACCTGAAGGCAGTCATGTACCCGGCGGCGCTGCCCGACTGCCGGCTCCGGCGCAGCGGGTACACGGCGAAATAGACGTTGAGGAGGAACTCTAGCCGCCGGTACTGCACTCCCTGCAGCACCGGCGCCGGCGTCACCGACTCCAGCATCTGAAACACAGCGGATCAGCGTCAGATCAGAGTACCTATATAGAACAGCCATCAGATAATCCGCACAGTGTATGTTAATACGATAACCAATAGCCATGGCCACTTGGCCCGTTTATCACCCGAAGGCAGTGAGCAATCATAAACGGAAGGTTACATAATATATTAATATGCTAAAATTTAAACATAAGGCGAGCCCACTGATCGGTCCGGATTGCGTGATAAACGGCCATATTCATGCACGAAAAACATACTGCGCTCAAAGCAGGCGATCATCCGTCACCACCCCCAGTGGACTGAGTAGGTAATACGGAATACCTGACCATCTTATCAAACTGATAGTACGTCCTCGCCAAACATTCATTCAATACCCTCTCATTACCCATCCGCCATCCGTCCCCCACTCATGTGTCCACCATCCGCTACTCGCCTGGAAGAAGGCTGATCTCCGTCCGCGGTCGAACAGGGCCAGGCTCTGCTCCTGTGAGCCGGAGTCTGTATCGGAGGAGGCGGGCGGGGGCGGCTGGACCGGTCGGCCGAGCCGGCGACACTCGCCGGAGAAGGCGGCCGCCGACTGGTCCAGGCCGGCCGTCTCCAGGTACTGAGGGACACGAGGGGGTCGTCAATTCAGGAGTGATGAGCCTACCGAGGGGAAGACGACAGAGGATGAACGGTACAGTTGGATAGACGGTACAGATGGATAAACGGTACACAGGGGTAGACGGTACCTGTAGATTATAAACGGTACAGTTGTGTAGATGGCACAGAGGATAAACGGTAGTCGTAGAGGGTAAATGGTACATATAGTTATATACCCGAGAAACTGATAAGCCCGAGATACTGATATGTCTGAGATACGGATTATAACCTTCGCTAGCCAGGCCCCCGTGCACAGCCGTGGCACTCACCTCTTGTACGAGTCCATTGACGCTGGCCTCGGCGTCAGGCAGTTCACTCATTCGACTCCAGCAGGACGGGGGAGGTCACCGAACTGTGCTGTCTTCGCTGTGACACTGACACCAAGAGTATATAGAACAGCCTGACACCGGTAATTGGCGACGTTACCATCTGACAATAATGACGCCACCTGAAGCTTGTCACGGTTCTATAGAGCTATAGATCTGCCATAGATGACCTTGGTCGCGGTGGTCGCGGTCTTGTGGGTCTCGGCACTCAGGGCAGGCACGTGACAGAGTTATTTAGCGCCCCGATGACTGACCTAATTATTGCCTGTCGCTTTTGAAGTGAGAGTCTACACGTTCAAGTTGTACTGAACCGTATCATTATTGCATTCGGTAGTCAGTTGCCCCGTATTGTTGGTTCAAGTACTGACTAGTGCCTACCCTGCCTACCTGTAATGGAGTTGCGGCAAAATAAACTTTACGATGCAATAACACTGGATGGGACAATGCAGCCTTCGCTTCGAAACAGCTGGATGTCGCATAAAATTTGTCCTGAAAGCTGAGTCAAACAATTTTGAAATCGCTTTAGCACCGTGCTGTACATGTACATTACCTAGCTACATAGAAGTTGACAGTGGTCTCGAATTGAAGTGGTTGATCATGCTGTGAATTATCTTTTATGTCGGAAAATTAATGACTCAATATGAGCACTGAATGCTTCCAATGCTTTGTTCAATAATTTGTTAACGACCTAACCATGTAAGTAATCCCTCAATCGAAACTCAAGCGAGGAATCAAGCATGGGGTTCATTCATCGCACACTGAAACTGAATGCCCGCCTCGTACCTACCACCTCCATGACAGCTAACTTCGTACGCGCCAACCCCGCTGATCACTTCCTGAAGACGAAGAGCACGTCCCGTAAGGATCCTCACATGTCACATCGCATAGTATTTCGAGCTCCTCATCGTAGGACCCATTTGCCGTTTGTCCTGTAAGGACTTACCACGAACAAACGACAGCACACGACTGACCAGAGAGAAGAGAAGCTCCGTGAAACAATCTGGACACCAGGGGAATCTGGCACACGTCTGGCCCCTAAGTATCCCCCTATGGCACACACCCTCCACTCCTGAGCCACCTCGCCATACTGCCGGCAGCGTGACGCCACCGACGGAAGTGGGCCGCCGACCACAATCGATGGGGGGGGGGGGGCGCCCGTCGACCAGCCCGCCCGCCTCCCCAGCACGACAGCTCGGATGGCGGGCGACGTGTCAACTAACCAATGCCTAGGTTCTAGCCCCGAGCTACTTCTTTACGGGCTGGAAACAATTGCATTACTCCTGTTTCCCCTTTCGTTACTGAAGTCCATGCGACTCTGCTTCTGAGCTCATCCGGGATCACCGTTCCAAAGGAGTCTCATCGTGCATACCAAATAGGCAATGAACGCCACGATGGATGACGAAATCCCTGAACGACGCCACCTCAGCTTGAGCTACATACGAGGATATTCTCTTCTACATGTAGTTATCCGCGTGGCTTAGTGCAAATATTGAACAATAGAGCAGTGCAAGTAGGTAATCCAGCGTTTCTCGCTAAAGGAATGAGGCAGTGCGAGTAGGCCCTTGGTACAGGACCACCAGCATTCCGGCAAGGTTCACAAATCGACCGTTACACATGAATACTTGAGGTAATTTGTACCAGCCATCAGCCCGCGAATGCTACTTAGTCGCATAGGGCAAATCCTTTTCCCCAACTATGGGGCTAGGCCACGCAATGAACCGCATTTTTAAGCAAGGGCCATTTTGCGACTAAGGAGGACAAAAGGAGACCCTTTTATCGTCACATCCTTGATGAATAACACAGCATACCCGAATATCTAATTGATAAATGAATTTACACAGCGCACGAAGTTAGATCTGCTACATCCCTGCGGAGCAAACTTCATGCTCTAAAAGCACATTCCACCCTTGTCGGGTCTGTCGGTACCAGAAACGTAATATAAACAAACCTAACTCCGTAGCGGGCGGGACATGTCCGTCCGTTGCGCAACCGGGCCCAGCTGGCCCGCAGCCAGTTGCCAAGTGGTCGATGCCAGGCCCCCGTCACCTCACGTGACCATATTCTCCAAACGTCGCCAACACATTTCATTGTTTTATTCCGGAGAATTCAACATCACGATTCGATAACGACTAGCCCGTCCGCGGGCGGCAGTAAGCTGCTGGGCAGCCGCCGTCCACAGACGGCCGAGACAGCGGCGCTACACCTGAGGAGAGCCGAGGAGAGAGACAAAGACAGAGAGACTGACAGACGGAGAGGAGGAGAGAGGGAGAGAGGCGGCGCCGGCCAGCGGACTACGGCGCGGCGCGCGCCAGGATAGAGTGCGGACACGGAGATGACTGTGACTGGCGCCCGGGGCCGGGCGGGGGCAGGGACGGGGGACAGGGTGCCCTCGGACCGCCCTCAGCCGCCCGCCGGGCCGCCCGACCGACCGCTGGAGCACGCAGCAGAGCAGGCCGCGGCGGCAGCTTACTGCTTAGACTGCATGAACTTGATCAGGTCGACGACACGGTGAGAGTAGCCGTACTCGTTGTCGTACCTGAAACGAGGAAATTCATCCATTAATCCACAGATTAACTGCAACATATCGTCCCATTGTTTCTGAAACAAATCTAGATTAAACTCGACAACAGGATAACACGAACGATAGGGGCTCTAAAAAAAGAAGAAGATAAAACCTAACTTCCAAATAAACTTCAGCTATCTATTTTTTGTAAGAAGCACAACCGCCGAACAATCAATCATGTCAGGACAGTTTTAAGCGTTGCCAAAGCAAGTGGCATGATTCCAACATACGCAGCTCGCCCATCCCGATGAGAGTAAAGGTCACCGTGGGGGCGTTCTTAGCCCGGCACCGGATCCTATCAAAACCTCCGTTCTACACCCCATGTACAGTCTGTCTTAAAAGTACCGCGCAAAGTAACGATGGATCCATCAAGCCTGACCGAGGAAGGGCCTGCTTTAATTTGAAAGTCACCGAACCAATTGACCTGGGGAATGGACGAGGATGTCAATTGCTTTAGTGACTCAAATTTAGCAGGCCTGACCGAGGAAGGGCCTGCTATAATTTGAAAGTCACCGAACCAATTGACCTGGGGAATGGACGAGGATGTGAATTGCTTCGGTGACTCAAAGTTAGCAGGCTCTTCCTCGGTCAGGCTTGATGGATCCACCGTTACTTTGCGCGGTACTTTTAAGACAGACTGTACAGAGTAAGAGCCCCTACTCACCAGGAGACCAGCTTGACGAAGGTGTCGTTGAGCTGGATGCAGGCGCCAGCGTCGAAGATGCTGGAGCGGGAGTCTGTGAGGAAGTCGTTGGACACCACCTGCTCGTCGGTGTAGCCGAGGATGCCCTGCATGGGGCCGTTGGCGGCCTCCTGGATCTTCTTCTTGATCTCCTCCATGGGGGCGGGCTTGGCTAGCCGGCAGGTGAGATCCACCACGGACACGTCCGGGGTGGGCACGCGGAACGCCATGCCGGTCAGCTTGCCGTTCAGGTCGGGGATCACCTTGCCGACGGCCTTGGCGGCGCCGGTCGAGGCGGGGATGATGTTCTGGCCGGCGCCGCGGCCGTCGCGCCAGTTCTTGCCGCTCGGGCCGTCCACCGTCTTCTGGGTGGCCGTGGTGGCGTGCACGGTGGTCATCAGGCCCTCCACGATGGTGAAGTTGTCGTGGATCACCTTGGCCACCGGCGCCAGGCAGTTGGTGGTGCAAGAGGCGTTCGAGACCACCTTCATGTCGGGCGAGTAGGCGTCCAGGTTGACGCCGCAGACGAACATGGGCGCATCGGCCGAGGGCGCCGAGATGACCACCTTCTTGGCCCCGCCGTCGAAGTGAGCGCTGGCCTTCTCGATGGTGGTGAACACGCCGGTGGACTCGACGATGTACTCGGCGCCCGCCTTCGACCACGGAATGTTGTTAGGCTTCATCTCGTTGAAGACGGTGATCTTCTTGCCTGTAAAAAAGGTTTGATAAGGAAGTGCGGAGCTATGCGCTCAGAGCAACCGCAATTCATCTGTTTATTTACGCTTCAAGGCACCAAATATCCAAACAGTACCAAAATTTCAAATTCTTTGGCCATGTGTTTCACAAAAAGTTACAGCTTTGATACAATAACAAACTATTAAACCATGAGCTTTTGAAATGTTCGCTAGTGCGTCGTAGGCCATTGATGTGGCGTGAACTGGAAATTCAATAAATCGGACAATTCCACCCTCGACAGGACGGTTAAATTGCATGTTTGTCATTGAAAGCCTCACTATGGCTCGCTCCCACACGGCGTCAAGCGATCAATACGGCTCCTAGGATACCCGACCACACCCCACCGTCTCAGTTCGAGCGACGTCACTCACCGTCAATGACCAGGCAGCCATCCTCAGCCTTGACCTCGCCCTTGTAGCGGCCGTGGGTCGAGTCATACTTGAACATGTACACCATGTACTCCAGGTTGATGAACGGGTCGTTGACGGCCACGACCTGAAAGGCGATGACGGCGATGGTTTAATGGTGACGCGCTGCCAGCCGACATAAGACGTTAGCGAGTGGGTCGCCTCCGGGTGTCATCATATCCCGCTCAAAATAGATGACACAAGTAATGATGAAATTGGCTTTGCAGAATATTTTTAGCACGTTGCATGCCTGCAAACATTTATGGAAAAGGGCTATCTATATAAAGCACAGAATTGAATGCATCGACTGAAAGCCGAGACAGCTGATTGGATCACAGTCTCAGTTGCAGTGACCTTGACCCATGACCTTTGACTGACCTCGGCTCCCTTCTCGAGGGCGGCCCGCACCACCAGGCGGCCGATGCGGCCGAATCCGTTGATTCCGATCTTCGACATGGTTAGGTTAGGTTGTGGGATAGATTCTGCAAAAAGAAAAATGAATGTTAAATGACAGCTGTAGACCACAAGCCAGTTCTACCATCGAATTGCATCACAGACGTGACTATAAACACGTATGATGTTTCGCATCTCGGTACGAGCATTATCGTTAGTGCATCGTAAGTAAACCTATAAGGACTGAATCGTATAAGGACTGAACGATAGATCTCTGTATACCGAGGCATACAGAGGTCTATGACTGAACATATGAAATGTCCCATTGCGTCATGCTTCAGGAACTGTCTTGAGCTCCCGTATCAGCCACCCAGAGCCATTGCACAATATCAACCAGAGTCTCCGCCTCCCTGCCACTACCAAGATCGACGAGGCTCACGGGAGCATTGGGTTATGTTGAAACTTGAAAACTTGTATATACCAACGTAACATGGTCGCGAGCTAAGAACAGCACCCTCACAGAACAGCGTATACACTCCAGGCGTATTCCATCCGTGACGGGACGTCTGGGAACCGGAGGGCAGTTTCCTCGTTACCGTTACGCCCTCTGGACCATTCTCTGGCTCATTTACCGCCTGCGGTCAGGCGCGTCGCTCAGATGGGTTGTTCCACGAACTCGTATACATATGTAGCTGTGGGAGGCTCCAGGCGGCAGTGCCAGCACGCCGGCCGGACATGACTCGACTGACAACCCTGCCAGATCGGCTCCGCCCCTCTATCCCTGCCATACTTCCCTCCCCCTGCTCAGGGACATGACGGGACGGGCGTGGGTCGAACAAGGATGATCGCCGGGGGTGGGGGGGGGGGGGGGGGGGGTGGGGGGGGGAGGTGAGAGGACAACGTGTCATGCGGGCCATGACGAAAACGCAAAGGTCGGGTGACTCGTGGGGACGTCAAGCCAGGTATAAATAAACCGATGCAGGGTCGCCGGGGTCAGGGCGGGGCGGGGCGGCGTCTGTGGGGGAACGCCCCGTTAGCGTTCCCGGCACTGCCAGCTAAGTGCGGCGGTCGAGGGAGGGAATGGGCCGGCGGCCAGCGGCACGGCGCGGCGGCCGACGGAGTGGCGCAGTCGCGGCCGTGCAACACGACAGGAAGGACAGACCGAGGACGGGGCGGAGACAGCGGACGAAGCAAAGGCGGCGGTGGAACGGACTGAAGCCCAGTGATCAGAGTGAGGCGGAGCGGAGCGATACAGCGGTCCACGGCCGTGACCTAGTGGGTACCAGCCGTCGGTGTGCAGACATTGCGACACCTGTGACGCAGATAGCGGTGTGGCGCAGCGCCAGAACGGTTCCTCAGTGGCATGTGTTCGGCAGGGTGACTCCCTTCGATCCGTCGTCTGAAGCCAAGGAAGCCGACTTTGACCGAGGTTTGGAGTGACTGGGGCGTCGGCCGCCGCGGCAGACAGCCGGCCGGCCGGCGAGGACTGGCGATCGATCCGCGAACCGCCGGTAACCGGACGATGTGGGTTTTAGCGGTCGTATGGCTGCTGGCCGCCGGCGGCGCGGCCGGCGGCTACTCAGACCAGTGCCGGCCACCGGAGCCGGGCGCAGAACAAGTGACAGTCGCAGAGGGGAGCACAGCGCGACTCCAGTGTCCGCTGGAAGCCCACCGGTCGGCCACCACGTGGACGAGGCCGGACCACCCGCGGCGTCACAGACTCCTGGCGCTCGCCACTGGTGGTCTGACGCACGTCGAGCGCCGCCCGGGCTCGCAGCGGTTCAGACTGGCGCTCGGCCGCCACTCGCGCAAAGAGACCCACTGGTGGCTGGTGATCGAGGCAGCGACGCCGTCAGACGCCGGCATCTACCGCTGCTACGCCATGTACGAGCGGCCAGAGCGGCAGAACGCGCACCGTCTGGTGCAGCTGACGGTGGTACCGGCGGGCGGGGCGCGGCTCGCCGGGCCGCGGCGGCGCGCCGTGGTGGCCGGCCGGCCGCTGACACTCAGCTGCACGGGCCGGCCACCGCTCAGCTGGCGGCTGGACGGCGGCCCGCTGCCGGCGGCGGCCGTCACCGAGGGGCGCAACTGCAGCCAGCTGCGGCTGGCCGCCGCCACCGCCCGGCACGCCGGCGAGTACACGTGCAGCGAGGCGGCCGGCCCGGAGACCCGAGAGGCGGACAGTGTTCACGTGGCTGTGGTGACTGAGGTGGCGACTATGGTGGAGACTGGACGTCCTAGTGATGCCAGCGTGCTGTCAGGCTGTGCTGTGATCATAGTATTGGCACTGTGCTGCCACCTATGTGTGATTGAATGGAACTGAACTGACATCACCAAACTGCTTCATGAAACATTTAGCTGTACTCAACCTCAGTATTATTTATATTATAACTATATCACATGCCCTGTTATCAAGTGTAGCTGTACTGCAAATAAACTGACAACACTCACATATCTGAATCCATTTCTTCTCTGATCAGGAATCCACAGGAGAGAGGACAGGATCTTGGCTTGAGCACAGCTTGTCCTGGGCATGGTGGTTGGCCAGGAGTCTTTGTCTTGATGTAGGAGCAAGGACTGAGAACAGAAGGCAAGGCACAAGTGCAGCTAGAGAACCAATTAACATAGCTGATCTGACATCACTGATATCACTGCATCTTTTTTTAATGTCAATGGTCAGTGACCTGGGCATTGCCACAATTCACAGCTACTGATGAAAATGTCAGCTATTTTAATTCACCTCGCAACTCACCAACAATGACTTCATTGCATTTACAATGCCTAATCTCACTCTGTAAATCACTTTCTAGTAGGTAGGTACCTGCTAGCTTTTATTCATTTAAAAAGTGTAATTGCCCATTGTTCTAAATGAGAGCAGGAGCACCTTCAGCAAAAAAAAAACTTTCCTTAAAGAGATTAGGTACCTATCTTCAAAGAGCAGTTGGCAAATCAAAATAGAGCACCTAAAATCACTATGCATAATTATGTGAATGTATGCTCACATAATTCAAGAAGTGACAATGATATCTAGGCTCAAATGAGGGACACCTGGACTGCATTAGGCAATCACATTTCACATTTATGTTTCAGGTGTGAAATAGATGAAACGCATGAAGATGCATTGTTTCAGATACCTAAGTGTCAGAAGCATTCATGCTCATTACCATGTTCTTTTCATGCATTTCAGAAAGCAAAATTAAGAGTAGGCAGGACTTAAAATTTAAAACAAATTAAATTGAAACAGTGGATGGACCATGAACTTCCAGCATGAACAGCAGGATTAACTTGAAAATTGAATGAAGGTTTGATAATTGAATGAATGAAATGAGTCTTAGCAGAATGATTAACAAATAAAAGGATATTAATGCCTTCCAGGCTTGCAATGGTTATCCACCTTCTTATTTTCATGAGGATGTGCATCATGACTTGATTCACATCAGTAGGCGGAACTATGGTCAAGCGTACCCATTTTCGGGAACGCATTTTCGTTCCCATGTTTGGGAACGATAAACCCAAATATGGGAACGCCATGTAGGCATTATTTAAAACAAGAAAAAGAACCGTTAAATGACGTCCAAAAAATATAAAACGATCGTGAACCGCCTGATATTTGTCTCAATATTGTTGGGAAAGAGTTTGATATTGTAAGGCCCATCGTAGTTTCAAATCGTTCCCCTATTTCCAAAGCAGTCCATCATCCGGGCCGCGAGCCCAAATTTGGGAACGCTCTCGTACACTGGCGCTGCAAGCGTTCCTTATTATGGGAACGGCGTAACCAAAATTGGGAACGATTTCACCGACGCCTTTCAGGGGCTCTTTTCATTAACAAGCATCACGTCCAACGCCGCAAATTATTGTTAACGCAACAATCATCAGATGACCTTTCCGGCAAGACCGTCGCATGTTTCGCCCGGTCTTCTCCGCTTTTATTCCCGTCGATCTCGCAGCGGGCACGCCCCCCTCTGCAGGATTACGTAATTCAAAACGCTCAGCGATGTCCAACAAGGTCTTCCATACCTATATCCACCGTCCGCGCCGAGGGTGGAGACATGTCAAGCACCTGTCTGTTTATCACCGATAGTTGACGAGCACCAGTGGCGGATCCAAGGGGGGGGGGTCACATGGGTCATGACCCCCTCCTTGGGGCTCGGGGGCACCACAGGCCCGCCAGGGGCACCACAGGCTCGCCAGGGGAACCACAGGCCTAGCAGGGGCACCACGGACCTGTCAGGGGCACCACAGGCCTGTCAGGGACACCAAAGGCCTAGCAAGGGCACCACGGGCCTGTCGGGGGCACCAAAGGCCTGGCAGGGACACGTCAGGCTTGTCAGGACCCAGGGGCACCACAGTCTTTCCAGGGGCACCAGAGGCCTTGCAGGGGCACCACAGGCCTGTCAGGGGCACCACAGGCCTGTCAGGGGCACCTTGAGTCTGTCAGGGGCACCACGGGCCTGTCGGAGGCACTTCAGGGTTGTCAGGGGCACCACAGTCCCGTAAGAGCCCAGGGGCACCAGCGGCCTAGCAGAGGCACCACAGGCCCGCCAGGGGCACCGCACGCCTGCCAGGGGCACCACCGATCTCGCAGGGGCACCTTGGGCCTGTCAGGGGCACCACGGGCCTGTGGGGGCACTTCATGCTTGTCAGGGGCACCACAGTCCTGTCAGGGCCCAGGGGCAGCAGTGGCCTAGCAGGGGCACCACAGGCCCGCCAGGGGCACCACAGGCCTGCCAGGGGCACCACAGGCCTAGCAAGGGCACCACGGGCTTGTCGGGGATACCACGGGCCTGGCAGGTGCACCTCAGTCTTGTCAGGGCCCAGGGGCACCACAGTCTTTCCAGGGGCACCACAGGCCTGTCAGGGACACCACAGGCCTGGCAGGGGCACCACAGGCCTGGCAGGGGCACCACAGGCCTGCCAGGGGCACCACCGGCCTCGCAGGGGCACCTTGAGCCTGTCAGGGGCACCACAGGCCTGCCAGGGGCACCACAGGCCTAGCAAGGGCACCACGAGCCTGTCAGGGGCACCTCAGGCTTTTTCAGGGCCCAGGGGCACCACAGTCCTTCCAGAGGCACCACAAGCCTGTCAGGGGCACCAAAGACCTAACAGGGGCACCACAGGCCTGTCAGGGGCACCACCGGCCTCGCAGGGGCACCTTTGGCCCGTCAGGGGCACCACGTGCCTGTCGGGGACATTTCAGGCTTATCAGTGGCACCACAGTCCTGTCAGAGCCCAGGGGCACCACCGGCCTCGCAGGGGCACCATGGGCCTGTCAGATGCACCACTGGCCTGTCGTTGGCACTTCAGGCTTGTCAGGGGGCACCACAGTCCTTCCAGGGGCATCACAAACCTGTCAGGGGCACCTGCGGCCTAGCAGGGGCACCACAGGCCCGCCAGGGGCAACACACACAAAATAAAATATATAAAAAAACAAAAAACGAAAATAGGGCACCACCAAAATGAAGTGGCCGAAATCCGATGAGTTTTTAATTTTGGGTATAGGTAGGGGCACCACTTCGATTCATGACCCTCCCCTTGGAGTTTTCCTGGATCCGCCCCTGACGAGCACAAGGAAGTATCCAAAAATGGGAACGCTGAATATGTTACACCCTCAAAACACCTAGTCCCAATGAAAATCTAGTTTTTTCCTTTCTTAATGAGTGTAAGTGGCAAAAGGCCTGGTAGGATGGACACGAGGAATGATCGAAATCAGCATAAAAATTATAAATAAGCCACACAGAGCGACCTATATAAGAGAAATTCCCCTAAAACGATCATGCTTAGAAACACGGAAGACAAAAACCACGCTCATGACGCTCCTTATAAAACAACGCTAAACAGCTAGCATCCAAATAAAATATGTCTTTCAGGGCTGATAGAATACAGCTGAATAATTTTCGACCACTTAAACTGAGTTTACAACAGCAGTTCGGTAAAATCACGCACGTTCTACGCGGTCGTCCGCCTCAACACCAAATGTCAACAATATTACCTCGGGACTGTCCGCGTGTTCGCTTGCATATGTCAGCATCTGGTGTCGCTAGTATGAAACTTCATAACCAGGCGAAAATTATTATACTTGACCTCAAAATGTAAAAAACGCTTCATTTTCCTTAAAATTGCATGTTAAATGTAGTATAACCCATGTTTTCACCATTCCGTCATTTCAAAAAATCATTAAAAATATCATTCGACGGTCAATTTCCTTGTTCAACGGTCAGATTAAAGATAATTTTATAGAGACTTAGTAGGTACTTAAATTAGCGTGCACTTTTTTGAGATGTGATGCACTAATGAGTTTTAGTGGGCGAACGGCCGAAAAATTCAGTCGGGGAAACTATGGTAAAATCTGCTATTTTTAGCAGTCTGCTATTTTTAGCAGAAATCTGCTAAAAATGGGTACGCATGTGACGTCATCGTACCCAAATATAGCAGATTTGGGTACGGCCCCCGACAAAAGCAGATCTGCACCCTAATTGAAGCAAATGCGCATCAAATGCCTGGCAGATTCATGATTAGAATAGTGCTGAGAATGTCCTCTGATATTTTTATTCAGATCCGACTATTTTTAAATAATGAATTTGAAAATAGTCGGATCTGAACAAAAATAGCAGAGAACACTCTCAGCACTATTGTCATCATGAATCTGCCAGGCATTTGATGCGCATTTGCTTCAATTAGGGTGCAGATCTGCTTTTGTATGGGGCCCTACCCAAATCTGCTATATTTGGGTACGATGACGTCACATGCGTACCCATTTTTAGCAGATTTCTGCTAAAAATAGAAGACTGCTAAAAATAGCAGATTTTACCATAGTTTCCCCGACTGAATTACCTTCCGTTCTCATAAATGGGAACGCCCATTCCCATATTTGGGAACTCCGTTCCCAAAAATGGGATCGTTCCTATATTTGGGTACTCATGACCATAGTTCCACCTACTGACATTATGACTGATGAGCAGCAAGTGTGAATTCATACAATTGTGTAAACTGTGCACACAACTCAAAATACAATAGGATACAAAGGAAAGTTGAACAATTCACCAAAATATTAAATCACTAAGGCCAAGATGACAAATGTCAAATAGCGATGCACCACAAAGCAAACGTAAGCACCCACTTGTACTTAAAATAGGAGGCTGCAATGGACACCTGCCCTCCTCACTGCTGCTCCGGGTGTGAGAGGGAATCAAGGGATCTAGTGCTGAGGAAATCTCTCGAAGGTCACCCCTCTACGCTAGAAACGAGGCCGAAAACGACAGCCCCTTCCTCCAAAACTAGCGCCGGGACCCGCCCACAGTTTCACGGGCAAAAAAACATTCTCTAACGACAATGAAGAATGCTCGAACTAGTAGCGGGCTTCAGGGTTTCGAGAGTATTTCAAAATCTGGGCACATGACGGTCAATGCCTGCTGAATGCAGAAATAAATCACATTTTAACATGGACATACGAGATCCGCGCCCTCACCTCCTCGGGTCACCTTCAGGAAGGTCGAGAGGCCGGCCGGCAAAAAGAGATGTTAGCTTTGCAGGTGTGGGAGAACTTGTTTTTTTATGACCTTAATTTTCAGCTAACTTGCTGTATTATTGACTCGAAATAATTGATTATGTATTTTGAAACAAGAACTTAACATATCCATAGGAACATTCACGTGTTTTCGGATAAAATGTAAATGGTTTTCATCTCTTTCCGTGCTCACTCAGACATGCCGCAAGAGTGACAAAATATAATAATTCTCCAAAGTAAATATTGTACATTGACATAGCTAGCGATGGAGAGTTAGGTTCAAGATACCTATAAGAAAATCCTGTACCTATACCTATAAGAAAGGTTAGGTTGACGTAGGAAAGTGATCGAATAACATTTATTTGCTAAGAAGTACAAAATATTTAACGCAAATTGCTAATTTGAATTTCTTTCGATCATCCCTGGGCTAGGTACCTAAACCGTTCATCCCATTTTTGTTTCGACGAACTTCGTTATCTTTGAATGTTTTGTGCTTTACTTACACTATGCGTGACCATCCAGGACAGCAACAGTGTGTGCATTTTCTGCAGACCTGTGCTTGTGGGATTTCTAGTTATCCCTCTGCAGCTTTCCAAAATTTCCGAGAACTGTATGCTGAGTGCTGACTGCATGACAGCTAGCGACCGCTTTGCCAATAAGCGTACATTTTTGCCAAGTGCTATTCCACTAACCTCATGACATATTTAAATAATTATGCTGCAATGCACTGCAATATGATTGGCAATAAAACATGTAAATTGAAACTAATAATTAATAAATATACCTATCACTTGGATTCATATTATGTGCCAACAAGTGCGTCAATAACTCTCATCTCATGCAAAAACACAGATTCTGTAAAAGAGTTTGATGTTTGAATTTTATATCAGTATAGACAATCCTGACTCTGGTATTTCCTGGACTGAGCATCCAGGATTTCCTTCACTGAATAGTGAATATGCAGTTGTTTGCGACTTGCAGTGTTGCCCAGCGAAGCCCACTAGGCACTAAGTGTATTTCCTTTCAGCTGAACTTAATCTGCATACTGATTTCCTGCAAAACCTGACAATACACAGATCACACACATGATTTCCTGGAGGATCACATGTAGTGTAGCTTGGGCTTCACATGTTCTATCCCAATGTGGTAGGACCCCAGATTTTCTGCCATCATTTTTAAAAAGTCTGTGCAGTTTCATAGTAAATACTTATCCATGAGGGCCATTAATTAAAGTCATCTCATGTCATTATGATCTCAATCTGGATGGAAGCCGGTTACCTATGTAATTCTGATCCAAAAAGCCTTGAAGCCAGCTGGCAACATCAGCCTATACTAACTGGACTATAATCTGCACCAGCTTTCACCAAGTACCAAACTGGCTAAGCACCACCACACCCACAAGATCTTGTCCAGCTTGTCTAAAAAGAGCATTGCCAGTGACCTTTTACTTTGTAGTGTCATTACCAAAAACAATGTTTATCAACTAGCTATGTTGCTCATCAAATTGGACATCGTTTTCTACTTGCTGTAGCAAGCAATAATCTGCGCTCAACATACTGTACCATTTTAACTCTACATTTCCTACTGCAGATAGCTGCAATTGGCACAATGGCTGGAAGAGGCTGTGGAAAACGCCACTATGGTGAAACAGGATTTGAAGCCTGGGGTGGCTACATGGAAGCTAAGAAATCAAAACTGGAGAACCAGTTTGACAACATGCCAGATAAAAATAAAGAAGGCATCTTCAAGAACATCTCCATTTTTGTGAATGGACTGACGGAGCCGCCAGCGGCAGAGCTGAAACAGCTAATGCACCATAACGGTGGCACATATCACCACTACTACCGGAGCCGGGGCGAGCGCGCCACCACCCACATCATCGCCTCGAACCTGCCGCACGCCAAGCTGAAGCAGCACCAGCGCAAACTGGTGGTTCGCCCGGAGTGGATCACGGAGAGTCTGAGCGCCGGACGTCTGCTCGACTACCGACAGTACCTGCTGCTGCCGCCCGAGAACCCGCTGCTCTCCTGTATGGGGGCTGCTTCTACCAGCAAGGCTGACGGGGGAGCTCATGTCTCTTCCGGGGTCGCAGAAATCGGAGACGGGGCGGAGCCTGACTATGACGACGATAACGAAGACTGTGAATCGTTTCCTCCCGATTTATCCAGCGATGATGATGAAGTCGGTCAGGAGAGTGATCCTGAACCAATTGCTGATAACGGTGACGAATGTGACGATTCAGCAGAGGCGACCGAGGCGGCAGGCCCGTCAACGGCAGCTCCATTGGCGGCCAACTCAGCTCCTGCACCGGCGACCGACCGCAGCCCGGTGAAACGGGCCGGCCAACCCAACTTCCTGCAGGAGTTCTACCAGAAGTCACGGCTGCACCACATCTCCGAGATGAAGGCGCTGTTTCGAGATTACGTCGCGCGGCTGCAGGACGCTCCTGACGATGGCTTCCCGGAGCGGGCACGTCTGCTGGCGTGGAGTCGCCAGCGGGACCAGAGCGCGGACCAGACCTCCGAACGGGACGGCGATGACGACGAAGACATGGAGCGGGAGCCGGCGGGCGAGGATCCTCTGACAACGGGGGATGCCACGGTGATCGCCCACGTCGACATGGACTGTTTCTTCGTCTCGGTGGGTCTCCGGTCGCGGCCGGAGCTGCGCGGCCGGCCGGTGGCGGTCACCCACTCTCGCGGGGGCGCTGAGCCGGCGGTCAGGCCGGGGGAGGATCGTGCTGCAGAGGCAGATGCATACCGAGCTCGCCGCAGCGGGAAGAGTGCTGGTGATGGCAGCGGTGTTAGCGGTGCCGGAGGCAAGGAGCCGTCCTGGATGGCTGGAGGTCCTCACGGCTCCATGGCCGAAATCGCCTCGTGCAGCTACGAGGCACGAGCCGCCGGCGTTAAGAACGGCATGTTCATGGGCGCGGCGCTGAAGCTGTGTCCCGACCTGCAGACGATTCCGTACGACTTCGCGGCGTACCGTGAGGTGGCCCTGGCCATGTACGACACCGTGTGCGGTCTGACGCGACGCGTGCAGGCTGTGAGCTGCGATGAGCTGTTTGCGGACTGCTCGGAGCTGCTGCGTCAGACCGGTGTGAGCCCGCTGCGACTGGCCGAGTACATCCGACACGCGGTGCGCCGGGAGACGGGCTGCCCGGCGTCGGTCGGGCTGGGGCCGAACATCCTCCTGGCCCGCCTGGCCACCAGCCGAGCCAAGCCCGACGGTCAGTTTCACGTACCGGCCGGCCGCGCGGCAGAGTTCATGCTGGACCAGCGCGTCCGTGACCTTCCTGGGGTGGGACGGACCACCGCCGAGCAGCTGCACCGGCTGGGAGCTGACAGCTGCCGGCAGCTGCAGCGGCTGGAGCTGGCGCAGCTGCAGCGCCACCTGGGACCGCGCACCGGCAGGCAGCTACACGAGTTTTGCCGCGGTATCGACACGCGCGCAGTGACGCCTCACGCGCCGCGGCGCAGCGTCTCGGCCGAGGTCAACTACGGCATACGGTTCGGCGGCGCGGCCGAGATGACCTCGTTCGTGAACGAGCTGTGTACCGAGCTGCAGTCGCGGATGGCGGCCGCAGCGTTCCTGGCGGACTCTGTGACAGTGAAGGTGATGGTTCGCGCAGCGGGCGCGCCGACAGAGACGGCAAAGTTCATGGGACATGGCGTGTGTGATACTCTAAGCAGGTCTGGTCGGTTGGCGACTCCCACCGACCGGCTGGAGACACTGCGCAGAGAGGTGACCGCTTTGCTGGCCGCGCTACACGTGCCACCGTCAGAGGTGCGTGGCCTGGGCCTGCAGGCTGGGAGGACCGCGGCCACGGCAGCGCGAGGTAAACCGCCCGCAGCGGCCAGCGTCACCACCGCTCCTCCTCCGCCGCCTCAGCAGCCGGCGCAGACCTCTGCAGTGGTATACTCTGCCGAGGAGGCGGCGCGGCTGGTGGGCGGCGTCGACCGACCAGTGGAGCGGCCGCCCCTGCCACCAGTCCCTACCTTCTGTGGCACGGCCGACCTCAGCTGTATCCGCAGACTGGTCGTCGAGTGGCTGGGGTCCGGTCCGCGTCCGGAGCGAGAGGACCAGGCTGCGCTGGCTGCCTACCTGTCGGCACTGGTGGACGCCCGTCTACTGGAGGCGGCCCGCGGCCTCCTGGTGCTGATGGGACGGCGACTGACGGCCGACGGGCCGCCTCAGTGGCTGGAGGCGCTCCAGCGGCTCACAGAGACCGTTCAGAGGAGGGTGGGCGCGATACACGGCGGTACGCTGTCACTGCCAGCTCTGCCCCGACCGCCGGCGACTGTCGCTACTACTGCCTCTACTGCTGCAGCCGTTACAGCGATCTGAACGGACTACCGCTACTGACACCATAACAGCGGCCACCGTTTGAACTGGATAGCTACCCGTTGGCCGTTACTGTCGCCGCTATCGACCCGGATAGCCACCGCCTGGTGCTGCTGGCTTTACAGGCCAGTTACGACTAGTGCGGTGTCAGGGGCCATGTGTGAGGGAACTGATAATTTAATGAGGGGAAGAACGATAAACCGCCCTCGAGATGGGACGGGAATGTGAAATGGATCTTGTTACAATATCTGTGATATCTGCTTGTGATGGCTCGTGAGGGTCTCAATTTTATACTTCTTTGTCCATGCGTGTGTCCAAATGTCCATACTATGTATGCATCTGTGTGTGCTGGTATCGCATCCTTGTACTTTATCCATTACTGCATGCTCCGAGTTCCAATCGAGATATGCGAGTGATGTATAACGGAGTGGTAATAGCGACGATTGTGTATCAGTACCGCCACTTACAGTTGTTGATCGGCGCGGCCGGTGATTAACACCGAACGACGGGCGAGCTCAGAGCGGTTCTGCCAGCTTCGACTTGCGCTTTGTTCAGTGAGGCGTTTTGCCTGCCGCAATCGCTTGAAGAAAGCGGGAGGAAAAAGTTCCAGATGAATGACGTTACGCATTGGTGCATAATGTATTATTTCTTATCTTGGTCATGATCATCGAACAAAGACACTACGAAGCGCATATAAGCATGAATCACTCGGACACTCGTGGATTGACCGTCACTAACAGCCACACTTCAACGATAGACTCTTTGGCTACAAAACCCCGACCCCAGCTACAGAACGCAACAGTGCGAGGCGGTGATATGCAAGCTGGTGCACAAGTCAACTAGGAAGCCACTGGCCACGGCGTTTCCCTGCAGTAATTGCGGCCCGGGCCATCACGTCACCTCTCGCATACGCACAGCACACGTTCTAAATTCTGATCACACAAACCGCCATTCTAGGTCTCAGCCTCATTGCATCGTATTGCAGGTACGCTAACGGTCATCACATTTTCCCGACGGATGAACACGGCACTGTACATGGTACTGGCACACACGGCACGGCGTCAAGTGTGCGATCGATCCCGTAAAGAATACACAGCCGGTACAGTATTTGAAGTTACGAGTTGTGCTCCCCAGCGCATACAATGCCTACAATCCCGTGTTTGTTCGATCACATGCCCCAGGTAATTGCAACAAATATAACGGATGCCCGATGAGAGGCGCTGGAAGTCAAGGAACAGCTGCAGATCACGACTAGCCCGTCCCGCAATCCCGTCCACATTCAGGCACTAAAAGTCCCACAAGGCACACGGCTATATCGTCCCCTAAACGATCGACCAGCAAATAAGACAGAAATAACGGCAGCCCAAGACACAGCGGCAGTCTTCCGACCAACCACCCGCGATCGAGCGGCATCCTCAACGGCATCCTCGTGCGACTGATACCTCATTAGAATGGGCCGGTGTCGTGTCTCATCCGTACAGGATCAGCGGCTCACTGGTGTGAGACTGACATCTCACTCGTACGGAGCCGGCGCCTCCGAGATCGGTACCGTGTGCTTCAACTCCTCGTAGCAGCTCTTGCCGAAGTTGATCAGCTCGGTGATCTGTGGCAGAGTGAGGAGGCGGTCAGACGACGGCGGTGAAACCAGCGAGGGGCCAATACGGTGAACCGAAAACCTCTTCAGGTTCCAATGCAGGCGGATTAGGCAATGCATGGTTCGTTCATTAGGGTTTACGGGCGCGTCGACTGCGGTGGTCACGCGCCCGTAAACCCTAATGAACGAACCATGCATTGCCTAATCCGCCTGCATTGGAACCTGAAGAGGTTTTGACGAAAAAAAGAAACAAGTTTTTCAGATGATGAGATCGCTGGCGGAGCTTAGCTGTGACAAATTTTCTATTTACGACCACGTGAAACGGTACATAACTATGTGCATGTACAATATACATTGACAGTTGACACGTCGCGATTGCATTTATCCACCAAACTGACCACCATCCATTGCGCAGAAGCATCCCAGGACCCAGGGCAGCCAGCAGACCCACCTTGAAGGCGACGTTGTTGTTTTGGCAGACGAAGGCCGGTTTTCGGCCGGACCCGCCCCCTCCGCTGACGGTAAGCACCACCTTGTAGATGTGTGTGCCATACGGGTCCCGCTCTATCGACGGACGACACTCGTCCAGCTCACTGCGGGGGAGAGCGACGGTCAGTCAGGGATGGTAATTAAATGTGCCATTCATGACTGAACAGTTGAACACTTGACAGGTTATAATGAATTTGCAGGCTGAGATAGGACCAAGCATATTTCGGCTGCAAGGCGGCAAGTCTGAAAATAAAATATCGTAGCTGGCGTTGCACAACTCTCATCGCTTTTGAGACGGGACTCTGATCGGAGATTTCGAGATGCTGCACACTGGGGCCACAACATAAGTATGAGCGTCTTTGGTCCAACAATCAAAGCCATAAACGAATCGTTATCATCAATTATATCACCAGTATCCTGCGCATCTCACCTGAAATGGACTGTATAGTTGAGTGTGTATGCGCCGGGACTGCTGTGTGACAGCACGCGCACCATCTCCGTCGATATGAGCACGCGCAGGTCGCCGCGGCCGTAACTGAGCAGCTCCGGGTACAGGGTGTCCCGGTCGGAGGTGGGGGTGGCACGCTGCTCGCCGGGACACAGCACCTCGTACGCCACGAACCTGACCGATAAGATGCGAGTTATGGATGAGGCACAATTAATTACGGCCCCTAGTAGAACAGCATTTTAAAATGTCACCAAAAAGCTGATACAGCCAGGTAGATGCAAGGAACCAAACATGCCAAAAATGTAATCTTTCATTCAAATAAAGAAACCCAAATATGGTTAAAGTCATAACTTCCATGATCCTAATCGTCAAAGGCGGTAATATAAGATGACAGTCATCAACAGCCTCCATTCCGTTTGAACTTCCAGCACGAAGTGCCGTACTGAGGTGTACCGAGGTGCCGGTGTGTCTTTACTGTAGATCTGCTGTACAATGTAAGGATAATGGTGTAAACATCCAAACACGCACCTTTCGTCCGGGTGCCGGTCGGTGACCGTATTCAGCAGCTCCTGTCCATCTGCGTCCCGTCCGCTGAAGCGGGGCAGCAGGCCGCCGGCACCCTGCACCACGCGGATCGGACGGACCCGCGGCGGCGCCTGTCGGTCGGAGCTGGGGCGGGCGGAGAGACATATGTCAGGGCTGGGTCGGTGGTGGTTAGGATAGCATTTAGCGTAGATTAATGGGTGGTGATGAGTAGCCCAATGCTCAGAATTTCTGTAACATTACGGCGTCTCTCATTACCGAGGCTGCATAACAATCTTGAAAACACAAGCAGCACCATAGCATCTCACAGTCATGTCGTAAGCAAATGCCACACGACAATGTGCAGGACTTCGGCTCCGTCCACGACTCCGGCTGGGTCGTAACTTACCCGCTGCTGGTGTCTTTGACGGCCTTGGCTGCTCCGGTGGCCAGGTCCAGGAAGCCCACCGCCGGCTTGGTCACCGTGCCCACCAGACCTTTACCGATACCGGAGAAAAATCCCTGCGGACAACAGGACGGTTAGAAGACTGACGTGGCAACAAAGTCACCGCGGGGTAAATAATGGTCACCTAACGACGAAAGCATTTGTAAAACGGAGATTCATAAAAAAAAATGGAATCAGGCATGATGAAGGGAAACCAGCACGAACGCCTGAAAAAAAACTCATTAATACCAACGACTTCACCAAAAAGGGACGGCATCCGCAACTGTTCACCCATACGCGTCACTCACCCAGACTCCCTCGGCGGAGGCGCCCTGGATGGGCTGTACGACTAGCGAGGAGGCGCCGCCCCACAGTCCCAGCCCGAAGCCACGCAGGCCGGTCATCAGGTGGTCGTCTGTTCCGGGGTTGTCCAGGATCCGGCGCCGGCTGTCGTCGTGCTTTTCATCCATGGTCACCCAGCCGACGGCGTCCGATAGGGAGCCTGTGGGGAGGGCGAGAGAGGTTAGCAGAGGTTCACCTTCACACGCATCAGGACAGCCGCTGGATGGCATCAGCCGCTGGATAAGTGCTCTTACCCAGACAACAGCACCTGCGGTTAAGTTGGACAATGACCAGAGCTGATGGCGCTCGCCATCGACCTGCGACTTTGGATACGGCCCTGTAACTTTGAATACTAACATATGACCCATGCCACAAACCCGTGAGCGTGACCTTTGAGATGTCCCTGACCACTAACCTGTGACCTTAGCCGTGGAGTTGGCCACGCCGTGGGTGACGTTTTTCACCAGAGCGCCCACGTCTCCCTCACGCACCAGACCGGACACGCCCTCTGTGACGTCACTCAGCAGGCCGAGCGGGTTGCCCAGGAAGTCGGTGGAGCCCAGGATGATGGCCGCCTGAGACTTCAGCTCCTGAGGACGTGTTCACAGGGTGGTGGAGCGTTAGCGGAGACGGCGAGTGATGAGGACTTCGTGAGAAAAGTTTTCACACTTAAAGTTTCGCGCGAATATTTATTTGTAAAAAAAAAAACGCGAATGTAGGAACTTGACTGGGCAGTTGTCTGTAAAAATCGACAAAGGTAAGCTTACCACCCAAAGAACTACCGAATGCGTAAATGCGTGACCCGTTTCGACAGATACACGAGCGCACGCGTGAAATCATGAGTCCAAAATCCACCCCAGCTGCGTGAGCCGACCGATCGACAAAGAATATAACCAAAACCACGCCCAGCCACAACCTGTGCCGCCGGCTCTTCCCCACGACCAATCTCACCTCCTTGTAGTGTTCAAGCACGGAGTCAGTAAGTTTGGCGGCCGTCTCAAATGGATGGTGGCGCACGAACGGATCCAGCTCGACGTGAGCTCCCTCGAACTGGACCAGTCGCCGGCCGAACTTGGCACGCACGGCCGCCAGCTCGGGCCGCAGCCGCGCCGAGGTCAACACGCTCAGACGCACCTGTCCGGCGCGGGATACGGGAGAGGTCATTAGAAACGCATATAGGGGCTGTACTTCTTAGCTGGATTGATATATGGCCTTGCATTCGTTTGCAATTGTAGTAATGTGGTTGTGGTCCATCATCGGACTCAGGTATCGTATTTGAACTACTTGGTTTACGATATTTTATGATAGACGAGCTGGAAATATGTGTGCCGAAAACGTAAAAACTACGCTGACTAGGCTGCTGCTACCAGCATAACAGTTGTAACGTCTAATATGCTGAGTCGATATCTGTAGTCGATAAGTGACACTGGGGTGGGGGACGGCCATGACACAGTCGTCCAGTCATCAGCCAACGGTCTCCCCCACACCGCGTCGGGCGCACCTTTTTCAGGGCGAGCTGCAGCAGGCGGCAGTAGTAGCGCGTGTTCTGAGACGAAGTGGCCGCCTTTAGGGCCCGCTGCGTCTCGTGGTCAGACTCCTCCAGCTGGTTCACCTCCGATCTGTCACACGGGTCAGGGGTCATATCAGACCAGTCAGAGGGTCAAGGGGTCATCAGAGAGCTGTCACACGAGGTCAGAGGTCAGCACAGAGCTGTCAGAAGGCTCGGACCTAGGCCGTGATCTCACATCTGTCACACGGAACCGGGGAACAGGGGTCATCTTATATATTCTGTAGCAGCCGAATTCATAAGTCACCCAATAACAAATAAGCGATTTGAAGCCATCTCAAGCCTGTCAAGGCCAGCTGCAGCCAATGGTTATGTGAAATCATATTTAGTCGAGGTGTAGCATATTGCAGTTTCAGATCAGGTTCCGCTACGAATTCTCGGCTTCAGTACCACTTCACAGACCGACTGGCGGAAGTGCCTGCTCTCCCCGTTGCCAGGCGTTTTTGTCACCCGGACATCTGTTACCGGGCGGCCGGCGGTTGGACCGGCGCCAGAGAATAGTTTTTGCACACATCATGACTCCTTCCCGGCACTGACATAAAAACTACCGTCTATTTCAAACAGGCAATGCGTTCGCACGTCACCCTCTCAGATCCCAGACTGATGAGATCTCAGTTCTACACTTACTGTGAGCATTATAAACCGACAACTCAATTGAAAACCCGACTGTGGTGCTGTTCGCATTCACCACAGTCGACAACCACAGACAGCCCGTCACGTTCTAATAATCGGACTAACAGCACACGAGGGAAACGGATAATACCTGACTAGGTATCGGAACAACAAAGATATAACAATTTAGTAACTACATTGGATTCGCAACGTTTTATCAGCGTTTTATAATATCCGATGCAGAGCTGCTCACCAGCATCGGACCATGCAGCTGCTGGACATCCTGTAAGCCCCATAATACGCAAACGATTACCTGTGGCCCTATTGGTCCTAGTCCGAAAAAGGAATGGATACTCACGCGTCGTCCTTGTATCCGATGAAGTGGAGCAGGTGGTACAGCAGCCGCTCCTCCAGCGTCAGTGTCAGGTCCTTCACCGACAACACCAGGTGCTGGGTGGGAAAACGGAAAACGTTATCGTTATGTAGGTATCGGTCAAATAAACGGATGAATATGTACCAGTAAAACGCCTTTTGGGCGAAGAACGAGCGAGCGAGATAGTGAGCCCTGCACGTGCGGAAGGGAGAGAGGGTACTTCCAACGGGCTTGTGCAAAGCACCCTTCTAACCGGTCGCTAGCGGTGTGCCAAATTTGAACGCAATCGGCCCAGCCGTTCCTGAGATCTGAAAGCGGCATTCTGCACGTGCGCACGTGCAAACGGGGTCCAAAATGACTTTTGCACGGCACCCTACTAACTGGTCCCCAACCGTGTACCAAATTTGAGCGCCATCGGCCCAGCCGTTCTCGAGATCTGGAAACGCCCCCTGCACGTGCGCACGTGCAGTAGCACCCTAACGGCAACACATGGGAATGCATTGCCTGATGAGTGCCTACCTGTATGCCAAGTTTCAGCGAAATCGCCCCAGTAGTTACCGAGTTACTGAAATGGGAACAAATTTGGCACCTCTTCTTTTTGCATTTTGCACGTGCAGTGGGGGTCACTCACATAGATCAAGAGTATCCGACCTTCGGTAGAAGGGATGCAGCTACCCTATAAAAATTACCGCAAGACAATCACTCAAGCCGCTGCTGAGATATGGACCTCTCAAAATCACTACTTTTGCAAAACTGCTTGAACACCCTTGACTTTTCACGTGGCACGTGCCACGACGGTCACTGAGATGTATCAAAAGTAGTCAATTACGGGGTAGAAGGGATGGGGCTACCCAGCAAAAAAGACCGCAGGCCAATCGGTCCAGCGGTTGCTGAGATATAAGCCTCTCAAAAGCGTTACAGGCCGGGCCGGGCCGGGCCGGGCCGCTCATACTGAGATTTTCCCGTTATATTGAAAAGACTTCGCTTCGCTCGCTGCGCTCGCTCGCTCGTAATCGGTGTTTGGGTTATATACCATTTCCTTGTGTTTAGACGAAGAAAATAACGTCAGTGTCGAGTGCTGTATGGACAAAGCGAGAAGACCATAGCTTCCAAGAAAAAATGCCACATAGAATTCACCTGGACTCTAATTCATCTACCAATGTCAGGCTGTGATCTACGGAACGCTGCGGCATTACTGTTTCAAACTTTTCCCTTCTCGACGCCACTGCCCATCACAAAATGTACACAGCTCTCCCACTCCCTCCTACCCTGACCCGGCCTCTTCTTCCACCCCCCATTCTCACGCACCTCCAGGATCCTCCACCGCTCGCAGGCGCTCGGTACGCTCTGCACAGCGAAACACACGGCGGGCAGGTGTCTCCTATCATCTGTAGCCGCTCCGGGCGTCACATGGAGCACACATGGCGCCTGGGTGTCTATGAGCTGACAGTCGGCCTGCACGTGGCGCACGCTGCCGTCCAGGGAGAGGCGGGACGCCGTGCGCCGGCACTCTGCCGCGATATCACCCAGGTACAGGTACAACAGCTCGGCCGGCGGGGTGGCCGATACCAGGCTGACGCCCACGCCTGTGAGGGCAGCGGAGGGGCCGATGAGGTTAGGGAATGCAGAGCTAATATGTTGTTAATATATGGAAGTCTATGACTTGAGATCGAAGCACGCGTTTCTATCATTCAGCTTAACACCAGCATTATGATACCAATCTTCTGAGACCAATTTATGGTAAAACAGGCGACAAAACTTAGTATCCAATAGCCATAAGGCAGCCAGAGCAGAGACCATCAACTGCCATTAATGCAGTTTTCCAATCGTTTCCCATCCCATCCCACTTTGACCGACCTGCCGGCAGGTGCAGTTTGACGGTGAGCTCCGTCTGCCCAGCGGCCGGCCGCTCCTCGGTGGACCCAGCGGCGGCCACCAGTCTCGAGCCGCTGCTCTCTCCCACCACTAACCAGTCGCGGTCCAGGCGCGCGAACGTCGGCTGATGGTGGAGAGGAGGGGGAGGGGGTCAGTCGTGGTGTGGACTGGGATGGTTAGCACAGCCGGGGTGCGTCTACTGCCAATCCCAAACATGGTCATGCATTGAAGTCAACAGGAATCGCTACTTCCGGCCTGACATCTTATCGCTCATAGTCGCCAGCTTCGAACAACACAGGCTTACACACGAGACAAAATCTTGAAATATAACATGTTACTTCGCTGAGGTGATCACAGCGGTTAAATTCCAGGCGAGGCATTACTCACAAACATTTACGCATAACATGTCAAGCTTTGCCTGCCATACTCATAAAACACTACACAGAGAGCGTATGCATTCGCTGGCGACAACTCCCCACCTAACACGCAATCCGCGACTCTCCCGCTGGCAGCTGGCGACTTCTCCCTGTCCCGCCTACCCGTCACCCCTCCCTCTCACCTTGCCGGTGGGTTTGGCGTCCGTGACCTGTAGCACGCGCGTCGGTCCGTCCGTCACCACCCTCACAGTGAGCTCCCCGGAGCCGGGCCACTGCATCTGCGGCTGGACGGCCTGTTCGGGTGGTATGGGGCTGCCCGGCGGTAGCACTGACACCGGGCCGAGCACTGCGTGCTTCCCTGCCGATGGAGGAGGCGGTCAGGGAGTCAGGACGGGAGCAGAGTGGATCGTACAGACAATTGGGGTGGTGTGCCGATAGGGTGGCTAATGGAGGCCTCATTAGTTTTACGATGCTAAACGAAAAATATGGATAACACGTATCAAGGTACCGTAAGGTGGGGCTATTTGAGACAGTGGGGCTATTTGAGACAGTATTTAAAATTGCTATAAAATAAAAACCACTCATAATTAATGCTTAATTTTTTGCTCAGGCGATTTACTGCTCGATTCCACACCTCCCTGAGCAAAAATATCACACAACAATCAAACGATCTTCATTTTATAGCGATTTTAAATACTGTTTCAAATAGCCCCACTGTCTCAAATAGCCCACTTTACGGTATGTTACTGATCAAACCTGCAAAACATTTCAAGGACTAAACGGTTCATTTTAAACACCATGTATGAGTGAAGATGACCAACCATGCATCGCACTTCAAATGCAAGTCTATTTCATTCGCCACCGAAGACTGCCTGCCTGTACCAATTAGTTTTGTACACACTGGACTCTGGAGCTAAAAAAGATAACATTAGCAGGTTGCGGGGTTCATTATTCCCTTCCTGCGATTCGCGTTACAGGTCACAGCAAGCCATTCTAAATGGATTGCTGACGATAATTTTAGAGCGAAGTACAGAAGAAAACACTAGGGATTATCTACAGACCACAGGAACACACCACACCGGCCACACTGTTACAGCACGCACACCAGGCGACAGCATGCATACAGACATATTATACGCACAGGCCTGCCATCTTAATCCGCCGCCTCCTGCTGAGAACAAATAGGGAACGGAAACGACCATTACTGAATGAATAAAGTAACACAAAACGCACATAACGCGGATTACACAGCGGACTGGACAGGGGCGTGGGCAAAAAGTAGCCGTTCACCGACAGTACATTGTAATTTGAATAACTGAAGAATGTGCGATAGTGAACTTAGCATAATTTCGGGGCTGCACGTGGCCAATATGTGCAATGTGCATTAAAGGTGCCACCTGTTCTGACCAGACCAGTCTCCGATCTAACCCACATATTCCCAGAGTCCACTGAAGTCCCTCCCTCCCTCCCTCCCTCCCTTCCTCCCTCCCTCGCTCCTCACCTCTGCAGAGCCCGCTGAAGCCGTCCTGGGCCTGTACGAACAGGTTGGGGTGCTGACAGCAGAGCCGGCCGTCGGCCGTGAACTGCCAGCGCTGCGTGAACTGCCGGCGCGCGTCCAGACGCCTCAGCCGCAGCGGTACACACTCGTACGGCTGGATACCCGGCGTGGCGATGTCCAGCACCTGGCGACGGAAAAGCGGAGTCACTTCACGGTCATTAACTGCAGTAGGTTAGAGAAGGATGGATCACGAGATAGTTAATAAGGTTATGTTTAGTTCACATCAGCTGCATAAGTCATCAGCATATAAATGAATTTCATGCATTCTCAACACTAGTTTCTCTCCCAACATTTACTCCACCAGACCAGATCAGCGGCGGCTCCGCCCGGTGCCCCGTCCGCTCACCATCAGCCGGTCGGTGCTCTCCGGATGACGGAGGTCCCGCGGCGGGCTGCTACCCTCGTGCACCAGGTGACCGGTGGGCAGGTGACGCCACAGCTGGGACCGCACACCGGGCTCCTGGAGACGACAGATAGAGCGTCACGAGCGAGAAACCAAGCGTACTCGTAACACACAAGTATATTTTTACTTTTTTTATATCCTGCATAGTAGTTCAGTCTAGACTGGTCTAGAGCTCCTCATCAGTACTAAGGTGCGGGATAGTACAGCTGACAGCACCTTCCTAGCGATACGAGACTGTACTTTGCCTTCAGTTTATCGCCCCTCTCGAGCACAGACCCCTGGATAGTTGACAGCTCTCTACCCACCAGGTCCCCCCTCCACCGTCTGACCCCTGCGCCGAGTACCGACCTTTCTGCGCAGCACCACCACTCCGTCCGCCACGTCCAGTACCAGCTGGCGACACTCGACGTTCTGGGGGTCGAACGCCGCGCCAGACGGACTGAGGACGTACCAGGGACGGGTCAGAGGACAGTACAGCAGGTCAAGCATGGGAAAATTCGAAATCGTAAGAATTGTATATCGTCTCACCAATTGGCCACGAACCATATTGTCATACTTCGTATATTGTGAACATAATTTACCACAACTGATATTCTGCATTGTGCTATCATTCCTTTTCAAGGATCTATTCTTTCAGGCAATTACCTTTATAGCATTCATAGAGGCAGTGAAATTCTCTGTTATAAAAAAAAAACTAGCAACTCATTCGTTCTCCTGAGACCATGCGCCACCTACCCTCCGAATGTGCCGGAGAAGGCGATGAACATGAAGTTGTCGTAGTGTAGGGTCTTGCGCTGGTTGAGCTGGTTGAGGTCGAAAGTGTCGGCCTGTCCGCCGGGTGCCACCACGGTCAGCGTGGGTCGGCTTTGCGGCTGGCACGGCGGCATGTCCCAGGCGTAGGGCGCCGAGCAGCGAGGCCGAACCGCACTCCGGCGGTAGTGCTCCTGGGTGCCGCTCTGCAGAGGGCGAAGGGGAGGGAATGGAGACTCAGCACTCAGGTGTCTGGATAGGGCGAGCTAGCAGACAAAGTTCAACAATCAACATGATTTCACGTAGCGATGCGTAACAACCATTGCACATTGAACTACAGAATAGAAACTAGTCAGTGAGCGATCGTTTGAAAAAAAAACAGCAACACATCGCAAAACGTAGCTAATAAATTGTAATTCAATATGACCGCATACCTAGCCGTGTGTTGTGACTTATGCCTAATAGTTGGCGCATAATGACTTCGTGATGTGGAGGTGCCCCATGATAATCCATCCCCCTCTCAAGCAGCTGTTGTCTGACCTGGTAGTAAGTGATGTTGACCTCGGAGAAGTTGTCGACTCGGAACGGGGGCGGCATGGCGTCCGCGTCCATGAACACGACGTAGTAGGTGGCGCTCTGGAGGACCACCTCGACGCGCAGGAAGCGACTCAGGCCGTCCTTGTCCCTGGCACACACAGGACGGACGGCTAGGGTAAGATACAGACACTGTAGGGGCCGGACATTATTTTGTGTGACGGTTGGTAGGAATCAGGACTGTGGTCAGAGAACGAATTTCAACGCGGTGTGACGGGAGTTGTAATGCTAGATGCCAGAGACAGATGCGCACAGGGTGTTCATTAGTACGCAGGTGCATGGCCTGAAACAAAGTCGACAACCGATATAAAATATGTCAACCCTGACCTAGCGACAACCTTTATCTAGACCTAGAGCGTAAAAATCTTGATTTAGGTCATTGGATACATCCTGATCTCAGAACTTGATGTGTGTCTGGTGACCTGGTCTGACCCGACATTTACGAAAACCTTTGCACGCGCCCACTGACTTGACGTTGATGTGTACCTGGACTCTGAACTGATCATAGACCTCTGTACACCATAGACCTCTGGTGTACACAGGTCATGAACTTACATTTACGAAAACCTTAGAACACATCGTGACTGACCTGACGTTGATGTGGAAGCTGTCAGTGCGGTCGATGAGGAAGCCGCCCGACCAGTGACAGTCGGCCACGTCAGCCAGTTTGACGCAGAGCAGGTGGTCGCAGTCGTGGCGCGGCCAGTGGAACGCCATCTGGGAGTCGGGCACGGCCAGCACCCACTGCTGCTGCGCCGCAGGGTTCACCTGCGATTGATGGACGGACGGCCGCGGCGGGGGTCAATGGGGGGTATAATTGGGTAAATTGCGTGTAAATAATTATCAGCATCAGCTAACTAGCTTTCAGACAGCCTTCCGGCTATCCTCTACAGGGTGTCCGGATAGTTCTGGCGCTTTTCAACATTTTCTAAAACAAATGCCATTGGTTCATAGATACTAATCAATGGATCAAAACAATGACCAGGGACACCAAGCCACATGCTTCCGCTACGTGCTCATTCAATGTAACCATCGCCGGCGCCGACGACGGCCTCGACGTAGGGGAGGAAGCGTCTGCGGGTTTTGACGATGCGGGGCATTTCCAGGTCCTCCCATGCTGTCATGATGCGAGTCTTCAGCGACTCCAGGTTGGGGTGAGAAATGGCCTAGATCCTGTTCTACAAAACGCGTAGCACGCCTTAGTCGAGCGGGTCAGGTTAGGAGAATAAGGCGGCCTGATCTCATTTCGCCACGGTGATCTGGCCCGGCAAGCTCCTCTGTCAGTTTAGCTTGAATGGCAGCGGCGTTGTTGGAGGGTGCTCTGTGCTGTTGAAATGCGAAGTGACCCTTAGGGCATGTCGTCTTGACCCTCGGGTTGATGTGGCTGTCCAGGAACCCCTCGTGGGCCAGCCTGTTATTCATTTATTCGACATTGACGAAGATGATGGGACATTTTTGTCCATCAGACCCCCGCACTTTCTTCGATTGCCGCGCTGAAATGCTGCTCCGTTCCCATATCGCGTTCGAAACGGTCTGAGGATATTTTCTAAGGAATTCCCGAGTCGAAATAAACCTTTACCTGCTAAACCATTCATCGAAAAACGCCGCATCGCGCTGCAACTCGAGCCTCGTTCAAGTCGCACCCGGCCGCCGCGCGCAGGCATTCAGCGACAAGGCGCATCTTCGCCCATCTACCCATCACTGAAAACGATTTCAAGGTCATATTTACACGACCTCTGGCTGAGCAATCAACGAGGGGTCATGTCTGTGATGATTGGCTGAATGTCCAATAATCACAGCGCGCGTTACACGGCGTCCAAAAGAAGCGCCAGGACTTTCCGGACACCCTGTAAAACAGATGTCGCGCTGAGTCACACTTCCCTACAGGATATCTACCGCAAAGAATTCAAGCCACCACTAAAAAACGGAGTTACCAAAAGCTGCACATAAATCACACGATCCTATTGCAACCCACCCTTCAAATCTAGCTCTCGCTTCACCCTTGTGCTCTCTTCCGACCCGCGCCGCCACCCACTCACGAATGACTCAGCGAAGTGCAGCTGCGAGAGTAGCAGCCGGTGTGACGACCTGTTGTCGACCTGGAACCGCGGCGACACGGTGATGATATGGGTGTCGCCGTACCGACCGCGGCCCGGGCGAGTCTCGATACCTGTCGGGGCGGTACCGGTTAACGGTCAGAGCGGACGCCGATGGACAGGGAAGGGAAGGGAACGTTATGTTGTAATGAAACTTATCGAATCTACGTGAAAGGTTGAATTGCCCGAGCGGGCATGAATTCAGTCCACGATACCAAGAGACAAACCGCGAGTCAATGCGCGGTGGCAATTTCCCACTTCCATCGGACGTTATCTGTAACTACAACTCACCGACTACGTAGACGATGTCTGGCCGCCGGGTATCGCGGGGCGAGACACGCAGACGCCGGAAACTGAGACCGGGCTGCAGGTGGAAGTGATGACACCACTGGAGACAGAGGAGAGGGCGGTCAGACACAGCTGATGGTAACGCAAGGTGAGGGCAGCATCATCATTGCCATCATTTATCAGTACCATGCAGCAAGAACAACAAAATAAAGTATTGAGGCACGTTTTGATTAATCAATTTCTATAACTCACAAACAATGCAAATGCAATCATGTAAAATTTTACAAATCATGTAAAATAATATCAACGAAATAAAACTGCAACATGATTGCTGGATTGAAATAATCTATGCAGCCAAAGCAGGCATACGAAAAGCCCAGAATAAAGGTAGCCCTGTCCGCGCCTAGCACCATCCGGAGTCGCCTAGACGAGCCCATCGGTTACTCACCCGCGGTAGGCCGTCCGGGTGCTGTCCGCGCCCCAGTCGCGCCACCATCATGTGCGGCGCCTCGGGGTCGCTCAGTGAGAACATGAGCGGCGCCACAGAGCGGGCGCGCTCGTGGTCGGCCTCCTGGCCGGCCGCCTCGGTCTGCTCGGTCTGCTCCTGGGCCACCACCAGCGGCAGGCCGGTGCGGTTCACCAGCCAGTAGGGAGCGCTCACCGACAGACGCAGCCAGCCGGCGGCGCCGTGCCGCAGCCGCGCGCGCAGCTGCAGCAGCCGGCCGCGCGAGTCGCGCAGAGCCACCGGCGCCCAGTCGAGGCCGGCCACGCGCGCGGCCGTGATGTCCAGGGCACGGTCCGGCCGGCAGCCCTCCACGCTGAGCGAGAGCAGCAGCTCCTGCTCCAGGTCCACCTGCGGGAAGGGCGGGACGGGACGGTGAATACAGGGCAGGTGGAAAACGGCGGACGGGGGGACGGAAAGATGAAAGCAGAACGCTACTTTCAGTTGAAGAAGAAATGAATGACAGCCACTCAGCTAAGCCACTCAGTCTGTACTCTCTTTTGCGACTGTAAATGTGACTGATGTAGCTTCACTGCCTCGAGACGATTGGCATGACGCCAGCATGAACGTCTCTAACGATCCTTAAGCACCCTTACTTCAATACTTGTCATTCTTCACCGCTGCTTCTCAGCCACCACTTCAAATTCGTCCCTACCAACTTCACTCACATCGACCAGAGCGGCCTGTTTCCCGGCGTCGATGCGCCGGGTGGCCTCTGGCGGCGGATCGGCGCTGCTGGCGCCGCAGGAGACCGAGTAGCGCAGCTCGCAGGGCAGCAGGTTCACAATGGTCACCGGCGGGAGGAGGGTGATGGTGTGACCTGGCTGCTGGCCAACGCCCAGGCGGCCTGGCAGGGCAGAGAGGGGCAGTATTGCAGTCAGTATACGATACAATATGTGAAGTTAACATATACTTTGAGTTTAATCATCTTTCAGATGGCTAGATAAAAACCTTAAACTGAATGTAACCAAAAACTTTCACAAATAACAGGTGAAGCCCGTGGATCCAAGGACGTGAACTCTGTAAAAAAATCGAGACTTCTGAAGAACTACAGCGAGGCGAGACAATAATACTCGTAAACTCAATTAGTGCGACCCAGTTCTCCGTTCAGATAACAGTCATCGCTCTCATACTGACAAAATACCACCATTCTGCATCCCGTTCCAACGTGACTGACCGGTGGCCGCCTGTCGGGTGTACGGCGCCGGGTCTTCTGGGTAGCTGTCCCGCTCGATGTTGACGCAAAACCTGAGCACGGCACACGGTGGGGTTTGTTAGAAGGCTGTCGAAGAGAAGCCAGCACACCGCGAAACACTGGTAGCTGGGTAACCGAGGCAGAGAGCATCTGCTCCTGGTCGGGAAGCAGGATACGCCGTAAATCACTGTTGGTGAGTTTACGTGGAAATGGTCTGAAGGCGCACCGAAACTGATAAAAATAAAGTAATAGCAAATCATGTTTAATCAAAACTCAAGTGAAAATGAAAACAACACAAGGCGCATTCCAAGAAAAAAGCAAACAAAAAGAAACAAAACGAAATCAAGGATCTCAACACACCCAAAAAGGAAAAGGGTCGTGTCGAAACTAAACCAAAATGTCATTTAATTATGCACCAAATGGTGAGGCCGATGTTCAAAATGGAACACAACCAGGAACGAAAAATTAATGTTGAAGCTGTTATTAGTGATGACGAATCCCACAGCATCTGTTAATAGAGGACGGTGAGAGGCCGGACCGATGAGCGGAGGGATCTGCGACGACGACCGTCTGTCGGAGCGTGCAGGACCGGCCGGATCAGGACTCGGGGCACCGTTAGTGAACCGTCAGTCCGTCCCATAGTGACCTGTAGACATCGGCGGCGTTCTGCCAGCTGCGGCAGCGCCGACGGCCCGACTCTCCGGCCCACCAGCGCCACGGCTGGGCGGTCAGGCTCCAGCCTCCGCCGGCGGCCGACAGCGGCCGGCCCAGCTGCTGACAGTGCACCAGCGCCAGCGGCACGGGCCGCCGCGCCCCGGGGCACACCTGCAGCACCCGCTCCGGACCTGCAACACACGCCGCACCGACTGCCCGCTGACACACTGCGCAGAGCCCAGGGACGGCCGCCGCGGCGGACTACGGCGGCCGAACTACTGCCTACTGCGCCCGGCGGAGCCAGGTCAGAGCGCCTCAGCGAACACCGATAGCCGTTTACGGAGTAAAACGAGAGGGTGGATCACGACAGTGCTTTCAAATAACATTATCCGTGATAATATTCTGCAATCAGTGTTCGCTGGCTGAGGCGGGCTGACCGGCGCCCCCTCTCGGTCCGGGTCCCTCCCGGCTCCCGGTGACCCGTCTGACCTGTAGTCGGTCCGGCCGGCCAGGTGACTAGCCGCCGCCGAGTGCCCGGGCCGGCCCAGGTCGGACGGCCGCAGCGGCCGGCCCGCGTAGCCGTGCGTGAGGCGGTGCGGCGGCGGCGTGGGGCGCCACCAAAGCAGCGCGCCCACGCAGCGCAGAGGTACCGACAGCCGGCCGAGCGGCTCCAGCCGGCGACACGTCACGGCAGCTTGTAACGACACGGCCACTCACAGAAACGGATCGTTTGTAACGACACGTCACGTAACGACACAGCGCCTCACAGACACAGGTGGTAGCAGCACGGCGCCTAACAGACACGTATCTTTTGCTCAATTCCCAACGAAAGACCTGGATCGCTCGCTAATTCGCCAAAAAATTGCCCAGCCAACAATGCATTTGGATATTATGCGAGGATTTACACTTCACTAAAAATAACAACAAATCTTACTGCAATCGTAATGTCATCTCGAGAGCACAAGTCCCTGCTGCCTACCATGGATCCCAACAGGCCCCAGGTCACCTTTCCATAATCACAAGCATTTCGGACCTGTCTCCATCCCGCCCTCTTCAAATGCTGCCACCTACCTCCGATGCGTGGTATGGCGCCCTCCATTTTGACCTCGACCGGGTCGGGCAGTCGGTTGGCGACCATCAGCGCCGATCGGACGGTGACCAGTTTCCGAGCAGTGCCCTGCAGGGTGACGGAAAACACCACCCGCGCCGGCGGCTGCTCCATCTGAGGGAGGCGGGCGAACCGAACGGCCAGCTCAGCGACCGGCGCGCGACAAGCTCGCGTGAACAAGTGGTGATGAGGGGGAACATCGGTTCCTTTTAACTTCTCAGAGCATGAGATGCTTAGTCTAAGTGGTTTACAACCAGAAATACTTTTTTAGCAATTTCATCGTCACATGATTCAGACACAAATTAATTCAAACAAACGCCAGCGAGAAAAGGAAAAAAAAACAACAACAAAAAACCCTTGCAACTTCATAACGATTCCGAGCTCTGACAATACCACACGGGGTGATCGCAATCAATGTTGCTTTCAGTTCATCTTTATAACCTCCCCCGCCTATCGGACTCCCCTCCACCCCCACTGACCCCGCTGGGGTGCCGGCCGGGCACGGGCGCCGTCTGTCGGAAGTACACTCCGACCCTGTCCACAGAGACGGGCGAGGCGGGCTGCCAGCCCTCCACCCACACCACCAGCTGGTGCTGCCGAGTGGTGTGCGTGTCCTGGTGGCGCAGCTTCCCTGGAGACGGAGAACGGACCGTGAGCGACATACACACGCAGGTATGGACGGAGGATGGACTTCCAATTTAACGGTGAGGGCAAACCAAAAGCAACACTCATGAACGGGTCATACCAATTCGATAATTATTTGATGTCTAATATTGCGACAATCAGCATTCGACATTAGGTATACCCACTTCATGAAATAATGCTTCATATTGCGTTCAACAGACAAAAATAACGCAGATCGTTAGTAGGATGGTTTTCCTTCAACCCGGTTACGTACCGCGTCCGCCGAAGGTGAAGGGCACGGCCTCGTCGACGCCCACCTCGGTCCAGCCGCCGGGGCCGCCCGCCGGGCCTGCCTGAGCCGCGTCCTGGCCTCTGCGGGAATAGAAGACAAAGGATCGAATGCACGACCTCGCAATAGAACAATCATGAAAAGATGAAATGTGAATGAATCAATTGACCAAAACAGGTCACCATGTATTACAATATATTTTCCAAATACCAGCAACTGACCCGCTGAACGAGGTGAGAACGGTGCGGAACTTCAGTCGCGATCCGGTGTCGTTCTTCAGACTGAATGGGACGAACGGACTGCGCCGGCGGCTGGCCACACGCGGCCCGCCCAGTCTGCGGGTAAAGTGAAGATTGGCAGGTCAGATACAGCTGGCCAGTCCCGCACATCCTGAGAACAGGATAGCGGGAGGTCAAAAAGGGGGTGGGACATAGCCGAAGCCCGCCAAGCCTCATTTCAAGACGGGGGTCGGGAGGCAAGCCAGACGCAACAGGTCGAACTGGTCATCCCGTCGTCCAACAGACACTGTTCGAACAGCAATTACTGCACACTACCACTCACCTGTCATAAGAGGCACTTTGTCTTCCAATCAATGCACATCATTCCTCCAGACTGCATGCAGCCATCCCTACCTACCACGTCATGAACACACCCTTCTTGTCATACCGTCCCCACTGTCCCAGCGCCTGCGGCCCTCCTCCTCTTCCCCTAGTTACCGCACCTGTGTCGATTGTAGTAGTCCTCAGTCCAGTTGGTGCGAACCATCGAGTACAGCTCCAGAAGCGTCGACGTCACGTTCACGTTGGCCTGGTGCTTGGAGCGGATGTTGACGGTGAGCCGGTCGCTGGAGGTGGGGGACGGTGAGGTGCCCCCGCCACTGGAGGCGGCCGACTCCCGTCGCCAGTCCAGCTCACACCTGGAACGGAGAGGAATAATGTGTGGATATTAAAACGTCAAACTTTTGCTATTCGATTCAAGACTAGGCTCATTCAACCCAGCATGCCGCCGCGAGACTCAAGCCCACAGGGTGAATGAACCCATTCACATAAAAATGAACCCATTTCACAAAATGGTACCGGGCATTCGCTGCGAACTTCAGAAAATATTCAGTATGTCCGCTTGCCATTCGATCCTCACTTGAACGGTTCGATGCACGGTTCCCAACCGGAGAGAGCTCGGTTGTAGTAGTCGCAGGAGAGCTCGCAGGTGGCCTCGCCAGCGCCATCTCTCGAGTGGGACACCAACAGATGGTTCATGCACAGTTCCACCAGAGGTACGTCCGCGTCACCGCAGTCGTCGATCACACATATTGAGAACGATGACGTGTGCAGCTGGAAAGAATGGCCAAGTCAAACCATGAATATCACTGACCATATCGGTGCTTGGTGAAGCGTGTTATGAAAAAGCAGAGTACTGACTAGCATTAGCAACCCTCCGCTGCCATGGTGTGATTCATGAGGCACAACTCACGTTGATTTTGCGCAGGTCGAAGAGTGGCTGACTGGGCAGCGGGTCCGGCGGCACAGCTTCTGTCGTCGGAGACGCGTGCTGAAATAATTGTCAACATCAGCGGCACTGCATCAAGACGTGCTAATCTTATTATACAGCAGGTAGACCGATGTAAAAGTAGGCAGTCTAACCGGAAAATACAGCTGAACACACTTATGCTGTATAAAAGCTCTACGACGGGGTGTATGAAAGCATGAAATAGAAACAATATCTTCGCCAGCAATGTTACACACTGAATGTCACAGCTCAAACTAGTCAGTATCTCAATATCCAAACTAGCTGAAACTCGTCGGCGGGTGTTGTTCTGACCTGTGTGAGCCAGATGGCAGCGTCGTCCAGCCGTCCCTGACAGACGGTCAGCGCCCTCTCACAGTCCTCCTCAGCGAACCCGAGACGCTGCAGCTGACGCAGCGGGGCTGAAACGAGGCAACATAACATAGGGTAAGGATGAGTCACTTCTTAGCTGTATGGTTGCATTATAAAAAACGCATAATTAAATTGAATAAGAGCTGCACCAGTCTTCATCAGCCTTCTGTTGCTAACATACTAACCCAGGCTTAACAAAGTACTGTGAATACATCCGCTTACTATCCAAATCCAAATAGACCAACGACACAAATTCATCACGCACCCTGCAGGTTGACGGGCTGCGCCGAGAGACGACCGCCGGTCTGCGCCACCGCTCCCGTCTGTTTAGGCAGGCTCTCCATGATAGCCACAAACATCTTCATGTCGTGGTAGCTAACCCGCACGTTCAGCTGCTGCATCAGCACCTCCATGTGGAAGTGCACCTCGGTATCGGTGGCGTCCAGGATACCCCGCGCGGCATCCGGAGGCTGCTTGCCGGCTATCTCGATGTTGACGGTGGCCGGGTCTACGATGGAGAGCGCGGTCTCCTGCTCGGCGCCGCCCAGCAGACAGCTAAACAGCTCGCAGTTCTGCAGCTCGCAGCTGAGCGGCTTCTCGCGGCTCTGAGGCCGGTACTGCACGCAAGCAGTCGTCTGCGGAGAGCGGAGACGGACGGAGTCAGTGGACACACAGCTAGGGAAAATGATAGACATAACAAAACATATCACGCATCATCGGCCGCGGTAATCCTTAAAAAGTAAATAATGTGTACGTGACCCAACAGCGGCAAACACACAGATCAGGAATCAACAGGATGGTCTGCTGAACTTTAGAAAGGAAAGATTCCGAACGCAGCAGCCGGAGAGATCACACCAACAAGCCTGAGTAGTGAGCGTTGAACAGCCTTCGCGCCACTTTGAGTATGACCGCAGCCGAGTCGTAGAGGGTGGGATTCACAGTCACACAATCACGCCGCGGCTTCAGCGGTCCTACAACCTCACCTTGAGTATGACGGCGGTCGAGCCTGAGACAATGGAATTCACATAATCAGCCCGCGTCTTCAGCGGCCCTAGTGATCTGACCTCACCTTGAGTATGACGGCAGCCGAGTCGGAGAGGGTGGGGTTCTCGACCAGCACCAGCTCACAGTCGGAGACGTTCAGCTTCAGCTCCAGACTCTGCTGCGGCTGGCCCAGCACGGCCGCCCGGCGAGTCACCACGCCTGACGAGAAACGGAGGATGACAAAGACATCGCGGTAGAGTAAGGTAAAATACAAGCAGGCAACATTGCCAGAGACCACATTGAGCGAGAAAATGCAGACCGTATAGCATATTTACAAGTATTTGCGCAACGCATTAAAAAAGAAGACCGTTGACATAGCCCTTTGTTGGAGAAATACCGCACGATGATGGGAAATGAACAGCTCTAGCAGGTGCACCTATAATAACGCTAGCGTACCCAGATCATGCATGTTTCATTCCGCCCAGTGTAGGGCTCTTACCGGCGCCGACGGCCATGCCGGCGGTGGGCGCGGCTGACGGGTTGGCCGGGACGACCACAGACGGTGCTGACGGGTCCTCCGGAGGAGAGACACCGTCCGGACTGGCGTTTATGAACTCGTTCACCTCACGCCACCTGAGACAAGAGAAGATAAGGGGAAGTTGGTGTGACGTATGGTCAGCCGTTCTATCCACAGCAAGTAGGCTAAAGGCAACCGAACGCATAATTGAGGAAGCAGGAGCCATGATAAAATACGAAAAAGAAATTTCTTCCTCTATCGAACTACCGTTCCCTCACCAGCAGCTCGCTTGCGCTCTAACATCTCCGCCCAACCAAATGTCAAGATGACCATCATCCGCCACCCATCACTGTGTGTAGCTCACCAGTCGAGTACGCCCATGAGCCGCATGCTGTTGAGCAGCACTGTGAACTGGGCGTGTTCGGCCGAGGCCCGGTAATGCAGTTCTGCCTGGAGGCTGCGCTCCGTCTTGGCAAACAGCGGCTGCAGGATCAGACTGAACACGTTCGAACGCTTGTTGGCCGGAAAATCTGACGGAGAGAAGGGCAAAGTCAGACATTCGTTAAGAAACTCCCTAGGCAGTGATGTCTGTGGGTATACCATAATCAAAGTTGAGATTGCTAGCTTCCGCAAACGTTCCAATCAATGGTAATTTATTAGCACCTACCAAGGGAATACAAGATGCAACTGCAAAAAAAAACGACAGTCCGACATGGAACCCACCGGTGAATCGTGTGTCGTGCAGCCGGATCTCTCTGGACATTAGATCCACGTCCTTGGAAGAGTCGGAGAAGCTCTCGAAGAGCAGCTGTGAGCGGATGAAGTCGACGCGGGCCAGCGCGGCGGCGTCATCGGTCACCAGCTCCAGTGAGACGTTCTGCAGGTCCAGCCTGACCGACATGGTAAGCCACACCGTCTCCGGCGCCAGCACCTGACCGGCGGGGACAGGGTCGTGTGGGTCAGAGATGTCGCCCTCACCGCACACACAAAAAAAACTGCCCGGAAGATTTTCGACCGGACCTAATAAATCATAGCTATCTTATGTCAATATAATAACTAAAGGAATACAGCTGTTGGATAAGTAATGTAGCCTAGCCTATAGTATTTAACAATCCTGTTCGTTTAACTTCATTCGAATTCGATTCAGCCACATGACTCATCAATCCGATTCGGCGCTGTGGCGCCACCGCTCACCGGCACGTGGTGCGGCTGGATGAGGTCGGTGGGCTCCATGCCCAGCGGCTCGCCCAGGTTGTGCACCAGCAGGCCGCGCACCAGCTTGTACTGCGGCAGGTCCACCGACAGGTCCAGCGTCGACAGGCTGCCGCGCACGCTCATGTCTGGCACTGCAACGGGTGAGAGAGGTTAAATCGGGCAGTATACACGCTGATTGCACTGCCAGAAAACTGAGGGCGAGGTACATACCTAGAGCGTATCTAGGAGGAGTGTACCTAGAGCGGGTACACATAGAGGCTGAAAACTATGCTTATTGGACCATGTTCGCTACAGCATTTCCCTCTTGAGGTGTTTTGAAGCAGGCGACGTCAGCAGTCGTTTCCGAGTCTAACATGCAAAAATGTGTCGCCACTTACCTCCGCAAACTTACACATGAATACCTAGGTACATTGTGCGAACAGGAGGAGTAGTAAATGAGAATGGTAACGAACGGAAGCAGCGTTCCAAGACCAAACGTAGTATGTAAATAACTTTTAAACAAGATCACATATCCGTATCATTAAAATTTGTTAAGTATCAGAATTTAAACCCAGGACAAGATCTGCGTTCCGACACGTAAACACGTAAATCCACGTTGAGCAGGGCTGGATACACCAGTATAACGCCTTTTGGGGCGACTAACGGAGCGAGCGAGAGGGTGGGCCTTGCACGTGCGAAATTGCGAGGGGGTACCTCCAACTGACTTGTGCACGGCACCCTACTAACCGCTCTCCAGCGATGTGCCAAATTTGGGCACAATCGGCCCAGCCGTTCTCGAGGTCTGGAAGCGGCACCCTGCACGTGCGCACGTGCAAAATGGGTCCCAACTGACTTGTGCACGGCACCCTACTAACCGGTCCCTAACTGTGTACCAAATTTGAGCGCAATCGGTCGAGCCGTTCCCGAGATCTGGAAACGACCCCTGCACGTGCGCACGTGCAGCAGCACCCCAACTCTGGCACATGGATATGCAGTGCCTAGTGGGTGCCTACCTACATGCCAACTTTCAGCGCAATCGGCCAAGTAGTTACCGAGATATTGCAACAATTACAAAACTGACACCTCTTCGTTTTGCACGTGGCACGTGCATAAGGGGTCACCCACATGCATCGGGAATAGTCCAATACTTGGTAGAAGGAATGAAGCTACCCTACAAAAATTACCGCATGTAAATCGGTCAAGTGGTTGCTGAGATATAAGCCTCGCAAAAGCGTCCGCACGGCCGGCCGCTCATACTCAGAAATTTCCGTTAATCTAAGGAAAGACTACGCTCGCTTCGCTCGCTCCGTAATCATACATGAATCATGATCATTTTGCAAGAAGATATTACTTGTTGAGGAAGTTATATATTTTTATAAGCTTGATTTTCCTCGTTCAGAGCTGCATTAACCAGTTCCTCGAATTAAAAAAAAAAACATTGCACAATTTATCACTGAAAAAAATATGCACAACGGCAGCGATTTAGCTGCCAAACTCGTCAATAAATAATGCAGCAATTTAACTCCAACGAGTGTGCGCCGCATTCGCCTACTACGAAGCTTTCTTTTTATTGTTTATAGAAAAATTCTACAGGGTGCGGACGATAAATTAGGACAACTTTCAGAACGCAATTTGACCGATAAAATGAAATGCGAGTGGATATTTGAAGGTGTACATTTCATTAACTGTTCTTTCCAGGCTTTTAGACTGAATTTTGAATTGATCGCTGTGTTTTCAAGCATGGAGGAAGAGAAAAGGGCCGCCATTGTCGTTGGGCTCCGCGCCGGGAGGGCCGCTGGCGAGATAGCAGAGTTCAACAAGTTGCCCAGGAGCCTGTGCTATCGAATTAAGAAGGAGTTTGATGAAAGGGTGGCGGGTGGAGAGAACCACGATGAAGTTTCGGTACAAAGGAAGACCCACAAGAGGAGGCGAGATTCCACCAGGACTCCGGAGTTCGTCGAGCAGCTTCAGAACGCGATTGATGAAGATCCTGGCAAATCAATGCGGTGTCTGGCTCGGGAGCTGAACGTGGATGAGAAGACTGTTCGGAAGTGCGTTCATGAAGACATAAGGTACAAGTCCTACGCACTCAAGAGGCATCAATTCATGAATGAGACTACCAAGGAGAGAAGGTCGGACAAGGCGGCCAGGCTGCTGTGCAAGTTGAAGCACCCTCAGGACACGAACCAGCTGATCTTCTTCTCAGATGAGAAGAATTTCTGCCAGGATCAGAAGGTGAACAAGAGAAACGATCGTTGGCTAAGTTCTGATGTTGAAGAAGTGCCAGTTGTCATGTCAACGAAGTTTCCAGCCACGGTGATGGTGCTGGGAGTCATCTCCAATGAGGGTGATGTCATGCCGCCTTTCTTCTTCGATGAGGGGCTGAGGGTCAATGCTGATGCGTACATCCACGTGATGGACACAGTCGTGAAGCCATGGATGGAGGGCGTTGCTGGAAACCGTCACTACGTCTTCCAGCAAGACGGAGCACCAGCCCACAACGCCAACAAAACGCAAGCATGGCTGGAGGAAAACGTGAAGGAGTTCTGGCCAAAGGACACCTGGCCCCCCAGCTCCCCTGACTGCAACCCCTGCGATTACTTTCTGTGGGGCGTTTGTGAGCGGGAGGTCAACAAACGCCCTCACAACACCAAGGCCTCCCTAAAGACCAAGATCACCGAGGTGATGGCCTCCCTGGACAAGGCCATGGTGGCCAGTGCCTGCAAGCGGTTCCGCAACCGCATCGAGCGTGTCGTGGAGGCTGAGGGGGGATTCATTGAGTGAGGCAGGAAGTGGACATAGCAAGGAGGAAGCGTGAAAAATTTGAAGTCAATACATTGATTTTCGCAGGAGTTATGTCGTTTCTTGTAGCACATGCAAGTTTGTCCTAATTTATCGTCCGCACCCTGTATTTAGGGCCTTGGAAAAATTCATTGACAAGCGAGTTTCGTGCAAGGAGGTTGCGCCTGCTCCGGTTTTATTAGTTTAACGAATATTACAGCTTGGTTTATTGAACCCGTGTGCAAATCAATTGAAAATGGGTTGTGATGGCGGCACCATTCCCCGGAGGGATGAGCTGGTGAGGACCAAGAAACAGGGGGAACAGAAGGACAAGGACTCTGTGAGGAAGTTCAAGTGGCAGAATTGCAGCATTAGTCAGAGCAAATTGGAGAAGCCCATTGTGGCTTGTGAACTGGGAAATTTGTACAGTAAGTCCTCAGTGCTTGAAGTGCTGCTAGATAAAGACAGCAAGCCCATCTTGGCTGAGCACATCAAAGGCCTGAAGGACGTGAAGGTCTTGAACTTATCTGAGAACACAGCTGCTTCTGTTGGGCCATCCAAGGGCGATAGTATGGTGGATGAGGAAGCATCAGAGTACATCTGCAATGTTACCGGTCTTGAGATGAATGGCAAGTACAAGTTTGTGTTCCTCTGGTCCTGTGGATGCGTATTCTCGGAACGAGCCATCAAAATGGTAAAGTCTGAAACCTGCCACAAATGTAACACCCCTTTTACTGATGATGATGTTATAGTTCTCAATCCTGATGATGATGAGCTGACACAAATGAGGGCCAGGATGGAAGAGAGGCGGGCCAAAGCAAAGGCCTTGAAAAAATCCAAGAGGTCAAAGGAAGCAGAGGAAAGTGCATCCGCAAGTGCTGAGCCAGCTGCAAAGAAGAAAAAGTCTGGCACAGAAAAACAAGCAAAGGCTCTTGCAGGCCCCTCCATCAATCTGCCTAACAATGGCAAGCTCGTGGATCCTGCCTTCGCTAAGGCATCTGCCTCATACAGTGTTGCCAAGGACAGCCAGAAGACAGAGGTGTACAAATCCCTGTTCACCTCTCATGAGTCTGCCAAGACCAGGCAGACAGCCCACTGGGTCACATACAATCCCTTGTTTAACTGAATGGCAACTCTCAACCATGAGTGGTATGTTTGTTGGGAGCTTCTTATCCAGCAGTGTCACAGATGCAGGTGATGGATCAGTCCACCCAGCTGTGTTGGCTGATCCTTGTACAACAGAGACAGTGTCTCACTGAGTTTGTGTGTCTGTGACTCAGTATGCTGGGTTTGTTCAACAGTGTATGACTGGGCCTGAATGCCGCTGATGTGCCTGCATGTGTAACAGTGGGTGCAAACTTTGCATACAATGCCACTGATCTGAGGCCACTGGGTGACTTCTGTGAGTGCTGTGTGTGGTTTGTGGACATTGTTGACACATGGTACTTAGCTTAGTGGGTGTGCATTAACTATGTGTAAAGAAAGACTGTGGCATAATTGTCCTGTAACATGTCACCATGAGCTGTATGTCAGTTCTGTTCAGCATATTGTGATGGAACAAATGTGTCATCGTCAACAATAAATGTAAGCCGTGAAGCAATCTCTGCTCTGGGATAGGGGCGAATTCTGATGTGTCGTGCAGAGAAAGGTGGACAGACAAACAATGCACAGAGATCCACCACTGAACACTTAGAGACATGGCACACACAAAACTATTTCCAACATTACACTTATCACCCACAAATGGTTGCAACTCTGATGGCTGTTATCACCAGCAACTATCACTTGAGCTAAATGAAAACAATACTCAGCACTCACATTGGAGCTTCAAAATAAAAAAGGGCTGGAGATCAAAATATTTTTTACCACAGCGAAACGTAGATAGTAAGTCAAATAATATTCAGACCTTACTTCGGAAGTTCAGAACCACCATATCACATCATCGTTACGGAGCCGCTGAACACATCCTTAGCGGTCGGGAGAAAGGGGACATGACATTAACCCCGCGTTCGATGTCTCTCGGACGACGAAGATTTTTCGTCGTCCGGCCAATCCCGTTCAAGGTCAGCGGGAGCGGGGCCTTGGCTGCGGTTATGGAACGTGATTGGCCGGACGACGTAGAATCTTTGTCGTCCGAGAGACATCGAACGTGGGGTAAATGCACACATCCGTCGTAATTGAGCAGATGGAAGTAAATACAACATGAAAAATAAGGCTATTCTGGTTTTGGGAGAAGGCAAACGCAAATTGACTAGCATTGTACCAACCACTTTCCATGTTGCCACTGCATTCATGTCCTATCTCCACATGTAGCTTCCATCGACTCGAAGAACATCAGCATTTATTGGTCGCAGGCAGCACAACAAAAATGACTGGTAAATACTCTATGGAAATGGGTGGATTTCTTTTGTCGCAGCCTACTCAATTGAACAAAATTGGAATACACTAGAGTAGCACAAGAAAAAAGCAATGCCAGTGAAAGAACTCAATCACGCAAAAAAAAAACGGTAGATAATTTTAGAAGTTGAATGTAAATAAAACACCTACTACTCAATTTCAGACAGTCAGTCGTTCATTTATTAGAATTGCTATTTGTCTGAGAACTTAAAGCGAACTCTTTTCTCGGAGCGCGCTGCTTCTCTCTCAGCAACTCCCGGCACGTCTGCTCCCACTCGCCGCCCTCCCCCACTCCCCAGCTGCTCACCGTCGTGACTGAGCGCGGCATGTTAAGCTCATCCTTCCTATAGCCGTGGTGTTGAACGCGCTACCCAGGTTACGCTGACTCCCCCCCCCCCTCACACACTCCCCAACAACTCACCGTCGTGGTTGAGCGCGGCGTCCAGGTTTCGCTCGACGACCAGTTTGAGTCCGGCCTTCTGTTTGAGCACGCGTCCGCCGGGCGTGGGTCGCACCAGGTACGAGTGAAGGTGGAGGTCCGACGGCCCGGGCCGCTCGGCCGCCGCCGACAGTACGTCCAGCCGCTCGGCAGAGTACACGTCCATGTCCGAAAGACTGACCTACACGGGGACAAGAATGGAGTCAGAGGCTGATTGTCAGGCCGGTAGGCGGAGAGGGGATTGGCGTCGCGACTGAACAGTGTAGATTAGTGAATATGTTGGGCTGTCCTCACAGTAAGTCCTCTATCCCCGATGTTGATAGTGATAAGTGATGACTAATTGAAGGCTTTGAAGTGTGCGCCAGGCAACATGCTATGGAGGGTTGTTACTCCGGTATCAGTGTCTGTAATTCACACTAGTGTAATTCATACACAGCAGCCCTGGTCAAAATTTGCAACGAGAGGGCCCCACCGGCACCGTCACTCACCTCCATAACATCCAGCAGACAGGGCACCGGCTCCGGTGTGGCCGGACGGTCGACGCGGCCTGCGCGCAGCACGGGCGACACGCGGCCCCGCGGCGCCGCCCTGACGGACAGAGACGCAAGAGACGTTAGTTCACACCACGGCGGCGGAGGCGGTCGAATACATAAAGCGTGATTGTAAAATGACCACTTTTAATTTGATAGACAAAAATGGTAGCCAAAATTTTCGCTCATGGTCATTTTGCTTTCAATTGTAGACAAATATTCCATTCCTCGACAAATATTTTAGTTAAAAATATGCATCTATCCTCGTTGCAAAGTGCTTACTGCCCACTAACCGTCTAGAGAAGGGTATATCCCTGGCGGTGGCGGCGTCCGGCGGCTCCGAGCCCGACAGACGGAACGCGTTTGTGACGCGCAGCCTGCCCAGGTCGGCCACCAGCAGTTGACGAGAGGTGGCCGACAGGGGCAGGAGGAGGACGGGAGAGCCGGCCTGGACGTCCAGTGAGACCCGACTGCCGCGGCTGCTCACCTCCTCCTGCGGGAGAGGGAAGAGAGAGGGGTCAATTCACCGTCAACCACATCGCAACTGCAGCGAAAGTGGCAGACCAGTGAATCGCAAACCACAGTTCGGACTGAGGCCTATGTGTATTCCTTGTATTGCAATAATGCGTGAGAGCATTCTCTGATTGGGCTGCAAAACCCACTTGAGTTTCTTCGATCACTTCAGATTCCAATCATCATTGGTCTATTTCACACCCACTCACTCCTTTCATTATTCATTTCCTACCACCGTGCCCCCGAGTCTATTCTACCCATCCCAGCGCGCACCCAGTCGTACACGATCTGACGCACCTCGGACTGGAGCCGGTTGAGCAGGTCCTGCAGCTCAGTGAAGTGTGCAAAGAACTGCTGCAGCTCGGCCAGGAAGCGGGCCGTGTGCACGTACTGGACGGAGGCCATCCGTAGTCGCAGCTGGGTGTCGAACTCACGGCGCAGAGCCGGGTCCGGCGACTGGAACCTGTACGACAATGCGACGAATAGTCTGTCTGATGCACCGATTCATAACAAGTACTAACACGACCTTATCTGAGTTACAGCATACAGCAGCCTTAAAGGTAGTGTGCCAGCTTTCCTGGACCGTATGGAGTTAATGGCCCAGATAAGGAGAACCGGATTTTTAGAACTTATCCATACCTTCAAAACTCATGGAAACGTCTTAAATTCTTCAAATTTTGAGTACCCCAGTGCGAAATTCGCCCCGACGGGTTGTCGGTCGTACCCCAACCACATTTCACACCACTATGAACAATAAATGCATACACTGAAATCGCTATTACCGATATGCTCATCCAATCAAGTTTCGATAAACCCGTTCATCATCATCTCCTGCGGTTTCGAACACGCCTGTTAGGTGGTGCGGTAGACCGCGCCCAAAGCCAGGGCCCCGGTAACGTGAGGTAGCCGAGTCGGGGCAGCGTGCGCTGACCCAAGCCGGGGCCGCGCGTCCTCCCGGTGTCATGTGATAGCCCGGGGCTGCCCGCGGGGATGCGGTAGACCGCGCCCAAAGCTGCGGCCCCGGCTTGGGTCAGCGCACGCTGCCCCGACTCGGCTACCTCACGTTACCGGGGCCCTGGCTTTGGGCGCGGCTTCTGCTCATACTTTGTGGTGCGGTGGTGGTGCGTCGGGCCGCGCGCTCTGACTTCGGCCAAGAAAAATGCGTCAGCTGATCATTGTCATTTCTGCCACTTGCGTGTGGTGAAATGGGGTCATAACTTAAGAGACGGCTTTTTCATATCAATTATTTTACATAAAATCATATTTCAAACCATAAATAATGTTCGACAGCCAAATAAAAGAAACAATACCAATACAGGCTTACATTTTAAGGCTCGACATTGTGTTGTCTACGATTAGACAGCTGATAACTCATTCCCGTACGTCGTAACTCTATCCCCGCGTTCGATGTCTCTCGGACGACGAAGATTCTATGCCATCCGGCCAATCACATTCCACAGCCGCAGCCGAGCCCCCGCTGACCTTGAACGGGATTGGCCGAACGACGTAGAATCTTCGCCGTCCGAGAGACATCGAATGCGGGGTATAATGACCTTTGCTTATTGTCACATGTGCGCCGCATTCGCGATTGTTGCCGACGCCTGTTTGCAGGTCAGCCCACTACAGTTGTTATACATATCGAAAAACCGATAAACTTTTAGGCGAAAAAGGCACTATTCCAGGCCCATTTTTGATTTTCTTTGCGATATTAGGTAAAAACAGAAGCTTCTTATCCTAGGAAAAATAAAATGGGAAATCTTTCAAAGGTGGCACACTACCTTTAAGTAAAATTTGCGGAGTGAACATGCATACACTGCAGCTACGAAGGCATATGTAGAGAGGCTATGTATAATTGCCTAACACATAGCAGCTATCAAAGGCATTGGTAAAAAGTGAGCTGAAGCTCCAAGCCTTTACCCCTGTCCATGCCAAAACAGCACATTCCCGTCATGACTCACTTGACGAAGTCGAAGTGGACGGCCTCGGGTCCGGCGGTGACGAATCTCTCCTTGTACAGGGCGCCGTGCGCGGTGAGATCCACCATAGCCAGAGCGCCGAGCCGGCCGGACGTCGTCGCCCGCTCAGCACCTGACAGCGTCCTGCTGCTGTAATCGGTGACTGTGGCGCGCGCCAGCGGACCGCTGCCCGGCTGGTTCAGCAGGAGGCTCAGAGAGCGGACCCGCACCAGGGTCTCGGTGACGGCCCCACCGGCGGCGGCAGCCGACAGGGGCGCCGCGCGAGAGCTGCTCCGGGGCACACCCGACTCCGGCGCCGGCTGGGGGCGAGAGGACGGGAGAGGTGAGCAGTGGGGCGGCTAGTGACGTCGAGGGGTGGTGTGACGGCGTGGGAAAACTAAAAACATCTGACAAAAACAAATATGAACAACGAAAAATCCCGAATGAATTACCACCCCACTAACCTTGTATGTCGTTTTCCCACATGACTATGCACACGGCTGGACGTCAAGTGGTCATTAAAAATATGGATGTAATGGACAAATGCAACAAACGTTCCTAGTGAACCCTTGAGCACCAGTCGACAGTTGCCCCACTGACCGCGGTCGGCGGGTGCGGCTGTCCGTTGAAGAAGTCCAGTACCATCACCCACGACTGCGGGCTAACTACCACGTCCAGACAGTTGAAGTTGAGGTCGACCGTGCGGCTGACGGCGGCGGCACGCGCGCCAGAGCGCAGCGTCACCGTGCACTGGATGAGCGCCTTCTCAGGATCGGGCGCCGGGCGAGTGGGCGAGCTGGGAGGACTGCGGCAGCCCGTCGAACGCACGCCGCGATCTGAGGAGAAAAAAGGGGGAAGGCGAGGTCAGAATAAGCGCACATGATATATGGGGGAGGGAGGGGGGGGGGGGCGATACGGTTACATCCATGGCTACTTCAGACAACAGAAACGGTCCAAAATCGACGGAAAACGTGTTTTACTGTATAATCACAGCTCTGCTATCCAAACAAATGTTTCTGCTAGCTTTTATTCAAGTTAGAACGTTTCAGCTGCTCACCGTATGTGCTGCGGGGAGCGGCCGGCCGCGGCGCCAGGAATCCCCCTCCGTTCAGTCGGTCGGGCAGACTGCCACACAGCACCTCAGCTGAGGTGGGTGCCGACAGCGACAGGTCATCGTCACAGGAGAGCCCGGCAGCAATGTCCGGACACGAGGCCGACAGGAATGGGCCCACCGCCGACGGGCGGCGCTCGCTCACACTGAAACAAAAATGGAGGGAGAGTTTCAGGAGCAGCAGACTTACGTTTTGTAAGGTTTTTACCTGTGACTGAGGTATTGTGCAAGCATCGCATGATTTGGTGGGAGTTGTGCCCATATTGACGTGTTTTGTATGTGCCAGAGACGATTGTGCGAGTTTTCTTTTGCGATTCACTCATTGTTCTGGTGATACTCCGGTTTACGAGTTGAATGCAGAGCAGATAGTTAGTTCCACTGCCCATCCTGATTATTCTCTAGCTCACGTGTTGTGCGAGTGCAGCAGGTAGCGGTGCGGCGCGTCCGGCAGCTGCAGCAGATCCTCCATGGTGACTCCCTGTAGTGTGACGCTCAGCTCGGTCAGGTCGGGCTGGCGCCGCTCGTAGGCCACCGACAGGTCGCTGAAGGTCAGGGTGACCAGGCCGCACGGCCCGCCGCGGCTCATGTCACTGCGCAGCTCCATCTCAAACTCGGACAGCTGGAACGAGCCTGGAATGGGCGCGGGACGGAGAGCAAGGTTAGCTGCGGAACGAACTTCGCTAAAAACGAGTCGCCGTGGCTGCATCAAGGCCAACGAGCAACGAATGACATAGCCCCATGAAAGTGGGAAAATACCACATCGACTTTACAAAATTTTGCCGTGAAAGATTTATGACAATTAATTCGTTTTATCGTACACACAATATGAAAAAAATGATATAACCCTAAAGCCTACCATGTATGGGTATTCCGTGGTTCTGAGCTGGTGCAGATATCTTCCTCTCCAACGGCTCTTTTCCAGGTTCCTCAGCCATCACGTCATCTGTTGGACACACACGAGAAAGACAGGTTAGCCGAGCCTAAAATGATACCAAGTCCGAAGGACTATATGAACATATGCACTACCAGAGAAACCTCTTGGGAGAGACCTGCTGGCGTCCGGTGCAAAATATGAGGCAAACATTCAACAGGATGAGTGTACCAGACATCACTGTCGTAAAGAAAAAGGAACTACGCACACAGACGCACTCTACTGTCTTCCCAGCAGTCTTGACTTTTGACCAAAATCCCCATCACAATTAGTTTCCCCACACATACCTTCCTGCGTTGTCTCCGTCCCCACGTCTTCTGCCCCGGCGGCGCTCGGCACAGTGAGGTTGTTCATAGTGCGCATGATCTGCTCGTACTGAGATTTGAGTACCGAGAGACGGACCGGCGTCACAAACTGACCGTCCACCTGGCAGAACACAACATCGTCAGCGTTGCTGTTGATGATGACGGACTAGGATTTTAGGCACCCAGACCAGACTAAATCGGAGGTCATCGGCCTCCTTAGAGACGCGATGCAGGGCGCTCGACGGTCGCATAATCTTGCCACGTTGATGTTCATGACACGCCATAATTCTGGCCAATTTTCCTCCTACCTAGCCGTAGCAAGACACGCAAGCACTACACGACCAGCACGCTGATATGAATGAAAAGTGCAAAACACACGGTGTTATTCTGGGCACAAGGCTGCCCTTGTCATTATCCACCCGGATCAGGTCGAAGCCGGGTCACCCACCTGAAGTGTCTGCTGGGCGCGGCCGGCGGCGGCTCCCGTCTGACCCGTCTGCCCGGACGGCGGCACCTCCACCGACTGCAGGGTGATCTCCAGCGCCGTGTCGTACAGGATCGGGTCTCCACACAGACGGGCGTCGTACAGCTGGTCGGCGCGCAGCGTGCTAAACGCACGGCCAGGACTGGAAAGGCAACGGAGGTGTCGGAACAGACGTTGGACATAATTACGAATAATGGGTTGAGTTATCATGATATGGATATGGATAAAAAGCCAATACCTTGACGATTTTTCACCAAAAGCGTTTACTGATGTAGGCTGTTATTTATGCGTTCCTCATTCCGTTTGCTTGCAATCTCGCAAATATATTACAAGCGACTTCATTCCTAGCAAAATGTGAGTTTGGTCACTCAGTTTATAACACTGACAAAATGTGAACTTTTATAACACTCCATCAGTTTTAAAAGTCCGCTGAATCAGTGACTAGACTCGTCCCGTTACATACCTGAGGCTCTTGGTGAGCATCACTTTGTCCAGATCCAGCGAGTAGAGGTTCATATCGGTCACGTGCAGCCGATGTTTGTCCTCCGGCCGGCAGTTGAGCGCGATCCGGCCCAGGTGTGCCACCAGCACCCGCGGACTCCCGGCGCTCTCCGGTACAACCACAATTGGCGTCTCCAGCACCACACTCAGCTCGATCCCTGCCAGCGACTGCCCGGCCGCCGGTTGAGGGGACGGCTCGCCGCGCCCGGCCGCCGGGGGAGGGCTCAGGGTACTCCGCGCCGCCTCCGACCCCGTCACCAGCGAGCCGGCGTCACTGACCGAGTCTGACCTGATGTGCACCATCTCCCTGGCCATTTCCGCCGCGGCAGCTCCCACCGAGCGGGCCAGCTCGGTCACGTACTGTTTGAACTCGTCCACACAGCCGCCGAGCTCGACCAGGAACGGCGCGCTGTGGGTGTAGCAGACGGAGGCGAGACGCACCTCGAGCTGAGCCGTGCCCTCGGAGCCGGCCGGCCGGCGGGCCGTGAACTGCAGCGCCCGCGGACACTGCTCGCTGTCCCGGTACAGGTCGGCGTTCAGACGGCGCAGCAGGTCCTGACGAGACACACGGTGATAATTAGCACCGGGAATATCAGTTCACGTGAAATATGCATACAACAACTCACAATAATCCGACATTTGTGCGAACTATGGAAGTTTAAATACGTTTAAATTTTCCCAACAAAATCAAGCAACTGAATAGTCGTCACACATGAAACAGAAGAACGCAAGTTCAATAACGAACATGACCCGCCTTTCGTTCTCACCTGCGACTGCTCCACGACGGGGTCGAAGCCGACCGACAGCACACAGGGATGTCGGTGTGCGGCCGGACTGAGCTCCCGGACCTGGAGACCTCCCAGTGCTCCGCTCACCGCCAGCTGATCGGACAGAGTGGCCTGGATCCGCGCGCCGCTCACCGTCGCCGTGGCCACCTTACGGCCCGTCAGTCCGAACCGGTCGCTGACGGAGCGCAGTAGTAGTACGTTTAGTTTGTGAAAGTCGAAGGTGAGCTCGGTACGACTACTGGTGGTGTTTTCTGTCTCTGGCTCAGCCGGGGGCGGCGGTGAGGAGGCACCGCCGGACAGCCAGTCGCCCAGGGGACTGGCGGCGCGACCGTCCGCCTCTGCGAGCCGGGAGAGCGGCTTCTCTGCACTGACCGGGTCCGGGGGAGTGCTGATGCGGTTCAGAAACCCTGCCAGCTCGACTATAGTCTCCTGGTTGGCTATGACATCCAGCGTGTTGAACCTCATGGAGACAGTACGCAGTGTCTGGCTCGGCGTCTGTCCGGGTGTGGGTAGTACGATCGTCACATCCAGGGTGATTAACGCGTCGTGTGTGTGACTCAGACCCGGCTCGGAAGCGGCACCGGCGGCGGGGGCAGCCGCGGCGGTCGGCGGCGGGTCGGCACCTCCCCCTCCCGGGTCGGGGGACACCACCCGCAGAGTAGCCGACTGCAGTTTCTGACTGACCGCCTGCGTCAGAGAGACGGGCGAGGTCGAGCGGTCCACGCCGGTCGGCGAGGCGGGACTGCACGGACTGCACGGTTCGGAGTCCAGTAGAGAGCCACTCACACTGTCCACACCCACACCGCGGTGGCTGGCCACCAGGATCTCGAAATCCGCTCCGTACGTCTGTAGCGCATCCACCAGGAGCAAACTATGCACAGAGAGCGCCAGCTGCAGGCGGCGGCGGCGACGCGTCAGCTGACCGCGCGCACCACACACCTGCAGTTCAGCCACGGCGCGGCCGCGCGACTGTACCGCCAGTGACATCTGTCCGGTGGCGAACTGCACCACCAGTAGCCGGGCCGCGTCTGAGGCGGGTTCTGACGGCACAGCGCCGTCCTCATCCTCCGCCGGCTGCGAGTGATCCCCTCCCGCGCCGTCACCCTCACCACTCATCTCAGAGAGATTGTCCTCGCCGGCCGTCGGAGAGTCTACCGGCTCTTCCTCATCCAGTAGGAGTCGACTGGCGAGTGTTCGCAGCGCGTGTACCTTCTGTTCGCTGACGTGCACCATCAGGTGGCTGAGGTTGCCGTTAATGTGTACCAGCGGCCACTCTGGGTCGGCCGCAGCCAAACGACGCCGCTCCAGTTGAAGGGAGATGGTGAACCGGTCCAACACATGCATCGGACTGCTGCCCTTGGCCAGAGCCTGGCGCCAATTGTCCCTCACACGGCCCACTAACACCTGTAGGTCGCTGAAGTTGAGAGAAAACTTGTCGTACATCTTCTTCTGGAGTTCGCAGCGCGCCGCTTGCGCTGGTGTCATCTCCGGCGCTGTCGCCATAGAGATGGTATCAGTTGACGGTGACTCGGGCACTGCCGATCCCGCTGTCGCAACCGACTCCGGCTCTGTCTCCTGCGGCGTAGAACACGGCGTGCAGAAATCCTCGTCGTCTGCGTCGTCGTCATCCAGGCCGGCCGCAGCGGCCGCCGCCTGGCGTCGAGCCTCTTCCTCCCAGAACATGTCGTTGTGCAGCTTCAGATGTCCAAAGTCAAGCACGAGTAGCAGACCGGACGGATCCTGCAGCGTTTCCGGTAGGATGATGTGTGGCGCTGAGATGTTGAACATGACGTCCCACGTCTTCCTGGCGATGTTGTCGCCCTCGACCATCTGCTCCCAGGTCTGTATCAGCTCCTCCCTAGTCTGTCTCTTAAGCGACTCGTACCTAACCCGCGCCGCGTTCTCCAGTCGCGCTAACCGCTCGGCGTCAGCGTCTGAACGTCGCGCCGTGAAGAACTGTCTCATCAGCCGCAGCGCCTCGGGGTTATACACCACATCCAGCGATCGAGACGTGACGTGCAGTTTGTAATCGGCGCGACTGCCGGGCGGCCGGCGCTCGTAGTGCAGCTCGAACAGTGGCGGCTCGGCGGCCGGCGCCAGCAGACTACTGAGCCCCGGCAGGCGGCTGAGCTGGCGCAGCGGCGCGGCCGGCGCGGCGCGAGGCTGAGGCGCCACCAGCCGCGGGAACGCCGAGCCGGCCGTGGCGTGGTCGTGCAGGTACAGGGCGCCCAGAGAGGTCTGCAGCAGGTGAGAGCCGCTGCGGGGCCGCGACTCGGCCGCCACCTCCACCTTCTCGAAGGCCAGGTCGAACAGGGGCCGCCTGCAAACGGACGGGGAAGATCAGCCCAGTTATGAAAAAGAGCATTGATCTACAATTATGTCTCACATTAACCCGCGCCGGGCCGGTGCTCTGAGATTCCGCGCCGGGCCGGGGGGGGGGGGGTGTCTGAACACCCCCCCCCCTTCTAACTCGGCTCCTGGGCCACGTAGCGACACGCGGTAAGCGGCAATCGAAAGAACGTCTAAAATAAGGACGAAAACACTTCAGTCATTTTTTGGGTCAGGTCAAAGGTCAGGTCACCAGAGGTCACCAAAGGTCAAATGTTAAATATTTCAACATTTTGGAAACTGCCAACGGCTATCTCGGGAACCGATAGAGCTACAGCGCCGCAGAAAAGCGCATTCGATAGCCCTTTTACAGACCTTTCTGAGTAATGTTCTCAGATTTGACCTCAGGTCAACGGTTTAGCCTCCAGAGGGCAAAAACTCCAAAAATAGCCGTTTTTACGAAAGACGTTTTTTCGGCAATAACTTTTGACTCAAAAGAGACATGACATTACTTTTGCCACCATCGTGTTCCTCTCGCCGAGACGCGTCGAATGAACTATAATTTGACCTTGAAAGGTCAACTTGAAAATTTGACCTCAGGTCAAGGTCATGACCTGACCGGAAAAGGTCATGTTGCATAGCAGTCGATCCGCAACGTCGAGCCGAACACATCTAAGGCGTTTTCAGCGCTCTAGCACGTCACTATCAGAAGTTATTAGCGAAAAACTGTTAGATTCTGTTCGTGACCTGAGATGACCTCGGGGCAAAGCATAAAAACTCCAGAATCGGTTAACGTTCCGTAATTTGCTAGTTCGTTGATGTCTGGACGACTTTGCGCCAGTCGCTGTTCTTTTGCTAGTCACATTTTGACACAGAGGTGCCGGAGTATAAAATTGGTAAGGAGAATAAAATCTTTTGGACCCGCCCGGGACCAGAAAAGGGCCTCATTTCCAACACTGCCTCGGGGACATAACGAGGGGTCACAGTTGCCATTTTCCGGTTCAGTGTGTCCATTTTACCTACATCTCGATGTTTGAGAGTGTCTAGAATAGCGTTCGTGCAAAACAGACGCTTTTCAATTTTCTCCCATTGACTTATAATGGAGAGGTCGCAAAATTGACCTGACCCTAGGTCACCGATATCAAAATTCCGAGATATACATTTTATAGATAATGTTGCTCTAATCAATCGCTAAAAGTTTCAAGGCAATCGATCAATCGGTGTAGCTATGACGAGCATTCTTATTTTTTGTGAGGTGAGGTCACTTGGCGTGACCTGGTGACCTGACCTAAGGTGACCTGGGTCTGAAATTTTCACAACATGTGCGGAAAAGACGCACAAACAGGTGTGTCAAAAACCACAGGGGGGGGGGGGGTGCAGATATCCCACAGTTTTTGAGATATCTGCGAAAAACCACAGGGGGGGGGGTGTTCAAACACCCCCCCCCCCGGCCCGGCGCGGGTTAAGCACTTTAAACCACAGTTAAACAAAACTGCCCGACTCTCACCTCTCGCCCCCGGCCTCTGCGCGGACCAGTTTCATCTCGGCCTGTTTGAGGCTGAAGTTGAGCTGGCTGAACACGGCGTCTCGCTTCAGTGCCGAGCTGTTCTCCAGCGTGTCGGCCATCTGATCGAGCGCCGCCTCCAGCTCCGGGCGCTGCCGCTCCGGCTCCTCGCCGGCGCCGCCGTACCAGCCGCCCCAGGCCGGGAACCACGACTGCAGCAGGCCGCGGCCGCTGCCGCCGGCGCCGGCCGCCGCCGCGCCCTGCTCGCGCCGCAGCGCCGCCTCACGCTCCTCCTGCAGCATGCACCACTCGCGGAGCGCGGCCAGCGCCTCGAACTCAAACTCTGACTCGCAGCGGAATTTGAGCGCCCGCTGCTCGGCGGTGAGTGTGGCCGGGCAGCGAAGGTGTTCCCGATACACGGCTGCGTACCGGGCGACGAGCGAGGCGCGCTCGCACGCCGCCTCCCAGGTGCGGTGGCGCCGCCGCCGGCCGATCCGGTCCAGGTGGGTCAGGATGGCGAACCGCCACCAGGCGGCGGGCGCCTCGCGCGGCGGCCGGTCGGCGCGGTGACGCAGACAGCGGCGCCGCCGGTCCAGCACCTCCATACTGCGCGCCCAGCCGACCGCCTGCTGGAACTGTCTGTCTGCCAGAGAGAGCGACAGACGCTCGCACTGGAGGTCCAGCACGTGTCGCGGCCGGGCCCGGGAGCGCAGCGGCCGCTCGGAGCAGTCGCGCTTCAGCCGGGCCTGGACGGTCACCGGGGAGAGCAGGAACTCGTGGTGCGCGCCGGCGATCATCACCTCCTGCCAGATAGACGGACGTGGATTTGTAACGAAGATGAAGGTAGAAATGCGGCAAACAAAATACACCACAAAAAGAGAACATTTATGTGATGACCAGCAATGCCATAATCCAGCGTTGAGACACCAAATGGCCTTTATCGCCGAGGCGTCCTAAAACTCATGCATGCAATCCAGCGTTGAGTCTAGAAATTGAAGATGCCATCGCTATAAATATCCACTTTTAGGGCCTCGTGTTCAAGCATACTACTACCTACTCAAGCATACTACCAATCGACATAATGAGTTGTACTCCAATCATCGTACTAAGTCGCACTAACATCGTGGATCGTGCTAACTCCTAACATTGTGCTAGGATCGTTTATAACACCTTGCCAAATCACATCGTTGACTCACGGCCAGTTGTCCGATGGTCATATCCGAGTACATCTGCGCCTGCGTGTCCCAGTAGACGTCCAGCTGCTGCAGGTCCAGCAGCTTGAAGCGCATGTTGTCGCGACACTCGGCCACGAAGCCGGGCACCCAGCGTTCGTCACAGCTCTGGGCTGTCAGCGCGCCGACCGTAAGACCGACAGCGAACCCGGGCTCCTCGTACCGCACGTGAACGTCGCGGATCTTCAGCTGCGGGGGGGGGGGGGGGGGTATAGAGTTCAGATTCGCACATGTAGTGATCAGTGACCGGACATACGTATTGAACGAAGCGTCACCAGTCACTTCAGTCTAAACTGACATTCATTTACAATGTCGATGATAACATAGATAGAACAACCACAAAGTAAACAGACCCAGTGGTCATCAGCAGAAGAGTTAATCATTCTTCTTTAGCGATGCCACTTAGAGCAGATATTAAATGGACCAGCAAGCACCTTGCGGGCCAGGAGCCGTCCGTTACCTGCAGATTTGCGACGATGTTTCCGACGATGCTGCTGCCGTAGTTGACCCAGGAGCTGTAGCTGGCCGCGTAGTAGGAGGTCTCCTGTTTGGCCTCGTGTTCAGCGCGCCAGGTGGCCTCGACGGCGTCCAGTTGCCACAGCTGGCGCTGCCGAGCGGCCGCCTCCTCCGCATCCGCGTCCATCTGACCGGGACAGAGGGGACACCGTGAGGATAGGAGGCATGTGGGAGGAAAACGATGGACAACCAGGCATCTAATAAGGTCTCAAGGCCTAAGGGAATAAAAAGTTAACGATCTACTAGAGGTCCTTGGGTTTCTTGAAGACAAAGTCAGCCCCAGATAATTTCAATTAAATTCTTTTCGCGGACATATGCTAATAAATCTCATATCTGTGTTAGCGTCCGTCAAGTGTGAACCACCGAGTTTTAAGTGAGCTACACCACCGACATTCAATATAAGTTTTGGAATCGGTGATCCACCGTTCCCTGCTTCCCGCTGTTCCCTGTCGGCGTCACGCGCGTGTCTCACCTCCTCTGGCCGGACGGGTCCCAGTACCACGTACAGCTGCTCGATGGAGATGGACCACGGCTCGCTGCTCAGACGGCGCACCGGGATCGAGAGCCGGATCTTGCCGACGAAGCCGGCCGTCACGCGCACCGGCAGGTCCAGGCTGGAGAGCGCGTCCTTGCGCAGGGGAACGTTCTCCATTTCCACAGCACCTAAAACAGAGACCGGGTGGTTGAAGATGGCGACACCGCACGGGCAGAGGCATGGTGTAATAGGCTAGCGGTATAGCGTAACGCTCTACATTTAAAAAGCACCTGGAATCGAAAGCGGGTGGTTACGAGCAGAACAAATTGGGCAGCTAGAAACGGAGAGACCGGTAAAAGCGCGATAGCCGAGGAGAGGCCTATAAAAATCAGCATGTTCTACGCGTATTTAAATAAATAGAACATCCTTAAAGTCTCTATTGTAAAATAACAAAAAAAAAAATAAACGTAAGGTATGTAATACGAATGTGCATATCAAGACATTCTAAATGCACGACTTTACTTTTTTGGAGCCACGTTTCCATTGAATATAACACTCATTGGCTTTAATTCCCTGTCCCAGCGCGTGATCCGGCCCTGGCCGGCGAAATTGCTGCCCAGCAGAGGCTCACTCATCATATGGTCGACGACAAAGAGTGCAACATCTGCACCAATGGCCTGGATGCCCTGTTTTTCCTTTCCTTGCACCGAGCGAACCTCACTGCAGAAGCCCTTGCCTGAATGCTAGGCCCAACATAAACAGACGAGCCAGTCGGCATTATCGCAGTCGACCTTGCCCCCTCTACTCGTCCCTGAACGCGGACAATCGGCGGCGATCCGTCCGGCCTGGCCCGGTACTTTGATGTGTGACAGATTCACATGTGGCACGCCGCCACCGGTCACAGTCAGCCCGTCAGCCGTCTGCTCAGGGACACACCCGTTCGCCGCGGCAAGGTGCTGGCGTCCGTCCAGACCCAACCCCATCCGTTCAGGCGGTGTGACGGCAAAGGGCATCGGACGGTGACATGTTCATCCGTGGCGACACGAACGTTCAACACACGTACAGATACGTCGGGAAAGGACAGGAGTTGATTCCTAAGCGATGCGGGGAAGGACAGGCCCAGCCACTGAGTAGTGCACAGGCACAAGCCACATGACTTCCAATGACCTGTCTTTCTAATAAAAAATCGTGTTTTTGGGCAGATCGCAGCCTGCATCAATATGATAAAATATTTATCGTCCGTAAAACAAAGGATGAAAGCAGAAAACGGGAAGGACAAAGGTTAATTTAATGTGAGATATAACATGAAAAATCGGCAATGCAACACTCATCCAGGCAAACCATGGTAGGTACTGATAGCAGGGGTGCGCTTGCAGATATTGCTGAGATAAACCCGAAAAGCTCGATGCTATACTCGATAAAAAAGTCGTGCAAGGTAAGATAGATCAAACTTTGCACTGATGGACTGAAAACAGCTTTTAACGTCGGATTTTTATTCACGTATTTCTACATTTCAAGACCGCACCTTAACGTTTGAACCAACAACCCAAATCAGCAAATGACACCAAAAAGTGCCGTGTTCTCTTCGCTGTACCGAAGGACACACTATTAACATTCTCATTCCCAACAGAGCCATCGCACCAGCCGGCAGCCCACCGTACATAGTCGTCATCGGTCGCGCTGTCGGGTCGGGCTCACGATAGAAGTCATGAGTCGCACTGCCATCTCACGATCGATGTCGTGAGTCATGCTGTTGGCCTACGATAGTCGTCGCGAGTCGCACCGTCGACTCAAGAGTGTCGTCGTGAGTCAGACTGTTATCTTACGGCAGTCGTCGGAGCCATGCTGTCGGCTCACGATACAAATCGTGAGTCCTCAGCTGTTGGCTCACAATAGTGTCGGAGCCACGCTGTGAGCTCACGATGGACGCCGTGTATTATGCTGTCATCCCACAATAGTCGTTGCGAGTCGCAATTGCTGCTCGTGGTATTGATATCAGCTTATCGTGACTCCCGACACTCGTCGCCAGTCACTCTTGTAGTCGTCGAGAGTCACGATGTCGGCTCATGATAGTCAGCCTTGTAAAGTCACTAACCAAGCAGCACACAGATGACCAATACATAGGGCTAACTAACAAAAGATATCATAAGATATAAATAAGTCTGCAATCTATATAGATCAGAGAACAATGGAAAGATACATCAAGTTTACACTGGATGAGAATTACACTTGATGAGAAGTATTTTCATGCCAGCAAGCACAGCTTACCCAATATTAGCTTGAAATTGTTACATATTGAGAGAATCTAAGATCTTGTCAACTTTGAAACATTAAAGTTGGACAATTTAACAAATGGTACATCTGCATCAGCCAAAACTCACAATCATCAACAAACTCTGGAGCAGCAACACTATGTGTGGTTCTGAATTTATTTTGCCATGGCACTTTGGCTCACCTTGCAGGAGGCCCACAGACAGCTGGTCTGTGTTCAGGTTTTCCAGGTACTGGCCCAAGTAATTGTTGAGCACCCATGCTGCTAGACTTTCCAGCATGGTGGCAGTCAAATGAGACTTACACTCTTCTAAACATCAACATTATCCTGAAATAAAAAAAAGACATTAACTTACCACATAAGCAAATCTGACTTAAAGGAAATAGTTCACTTTTAACATGGGGTTTTGAACTGAAATAGCAGTCTTGTAGCTTGCGCTGAGACTAGCACAAATCATAAGCTTTTACGGCCCAACAATCACCCTAAGCAAAAATATTCAATTTCCAGTTCCAAAAACAGTGTCTTAGGCAGGAATGTGGTGTCGTTGGTGTCTTAGAAAGGAATGCAGTCACGTCATCGTGAGCCAATCAGCATGCTGCTTACAGCCAATGCAGCATGCGTAGGTTTGAACTACGCAATGTGATTGGTCAACGCGTAATAAGCTTCCGCGTCAAAACATCGTTCTACATAGAAATATAGTTCTTCCTATATTAAAATACAGAAAATATTTTTTTACAGAAAGTTTTTATTTTATTTTCTGATCATTTTGAGCATAAAAAATCATAAATCCATAGCAAAATACTAATTTCAGGAAAGTGAACTATTTCCTTTAAATATGGATGTTGATATTGATCTAAGCTTATCAACAAGGAAGAATACCTATTTGGTGATTTCCCCCTTTTGTACCCTTCAAAAACTGAAGAAATTCACAAAACAAAAACGTAAAAAGAAAGAACACATCATTCTAAGGTTGAAAAATGAGACCACACATTGATGTTTCAAATACTTTTACACAAAACATTTATGACTAACAAGTTACACCCAACCACACATGACCTTTATTCACTTTAGGAATACATGAGCTTTGCTTATAAAAGTCTCTACTAAAAAAAGTTACAGAACAAGACATAATCTAACCTGAACTAACCTTACCTACTAACCTACAACCTACAGTTACAACTTCCCAATGCACAACCTACCTGGAATAGTAGTAGTAATAGCAGGCATCACACTTGTTTTTTGCAACCAAGGAGAGGTGCTGTAGGTTGTTAGGTTTAGGTTTTAGGTCATAGGTAGGTTTTAGGTTGTAACTTGTAGGTAGGTTTTAGGTTCTAGGTTCTAGGCAAGGTTAGGTCAGGTTTGGTTAGGTTTGGTTTGATTTGGTTTGATCAGAAAGCATATCGGGGGTAGCGCATCTCCTTGGTTGAAAAAAACAAGCATGATGCATGAATTATGACTAAACTGGAATTTGTGTAAATATCTTAAGAACTGGCGTCTTAAGATATTTACCCAAGCTTTTCACAAATGGGTGGCAGCATGTATTAGTATTGAGTATCTATAATTTATATGATTATCTTTCAATTATTAACTAATCTTCCAATCTTCCAGGTTGATATATGATTTGGACAACATGGTGTGGATTTTATGTAACGTTGAGCCAGCCTAGGGTGCAAAAGGACCACTTCACCACCTATTTTAATCATTCATGATAACCACCAGACATAAGAATAACAATGAAAATCAATACAAAATAAGAACAAATACTAAAAATTCAGAATATATGATGCAGCACGGCCCTCCTCTCAGTCTCCCGTCTCAGTCTCACTGCATGGCAATGCAGGTATAGACATCAGCATTGTTTAAAAAAAACTGAGGTTCCCTTTTTGTATATCAGTCCCACACACAAGGGGGAAAAGCTCAAATTATTGAGCGCTCAAAATATTGAGCGTGTGACGTCAGAGGCTCCCATAGGCGTAATGCTGAGGGCTCAAAAAATTGAGCCGTTTCAGGAACACGTTTTGCAAAAGCAACTCGCAACACCTAGGGAGAAATGGCAACACCCTAGGAGAATCACTAATGATGCAAAATAGATTAGGCTTTCATATTTTTCACTGCTCAAGCTTCAATGATTGGGGGAACACCAATTTATAGGTCGAAATCTTACGGCATACCAGGATGACTTAAAAACAGGCCAATAGTTATGTCAAAATAAAAGTAATTTTTTGTCCATTCACGTTTTTTACTAGGGTTCTGTTGGAAAGAGCATTTTTCATACTACCCAAAATGATTGCGACTCAATTTCACATTACCCATATCGGAGAATATTTTTCACAAGGCCCTAAATACAAGGTTGCACGGACTAATTTCTACTAAATCTACCAGAATATAGTTTCACGGTTGGGTATTTTAATAACTATTCAATCAAAACTTCTTTATTATTTCCTCGTTATCATTTATAAGCAATTTTATAAATTGACTATCAATTTGCTTGCCTTTTACTGGCAAAATAACTTTCTAGTATTGGGTCAGCATAGTTGTGTAGCAGTAGGAACCATATCTGGCAAAACCCCAATGCCTACATACAGCAGAAAAGCGGCCACCAGGTGTCGCCACAGTCGCCACTTGGTCGCCACACAGATGTCGCGCGCGTCGCCAATCGCCACACTACCGATTTCCATAAGGACGCATATGTACGGATATGTATTGGAAAGTCGCCCTTAAGGATTACGCTTACATCCTTTGCTTACGAGGTCGGTGGTTGGAAATTGGGAGGGGCTCAGCTATTTTCGACCACGGATATGGCTTTATCACATGATGAGGAACATGCTGATAAGCGTTTTATGTGTCATAACAGCACATAAGTATTTTTAATCATTTTTCAAAAATAGCCGTTCTGCCGTATCTTTCAGTGCAAGGTGCCGTCAGTCATCCCCGACGTTACGTCACGCCGGGGATTGCCAGATTTTCCTACTAGACTTCGACGCCCCCTGATTTTTCATTTGGCGGCGCCGTTTGTTTATTTCGTCGCGACGTCTCCGGTCGCGTGGTTGTCGTCGTCATTGTGTTGAAGGTAAGTTTTTATCGTTTTAGTTATACTTAGATGTTAAAAGGTACACTGAAAAGTTTGAATATGCTGTAATTTTAAATTTGGAGACACGTAAACGTCAATCAATTCACGTTTTCCTCGATTTGCGTGCAGATAGGTAACTGTCGACGAAAGTGGCGCCATCCGATATGATGTTTTGAAGGAAGGAGACACAACATATTTACGTGAATTTTTTTGTTTTTTAGTGGTCTAAGTGCTTCAAAGAGGCTGTGAATGTTTTCTTCACACAATTTGTCATTAGGTATGATGAGGTAAAAGGTAGTTTCAGCCTTAACTTTCATATAATTGACATTAAAACATATGATAGTCCACTGCTATCAGTGATTGAGTACCTTGATGTTTGGCATTTCTTATTAATTTGAATGTATTCTCTATCCATATGTCCTGATAGTAAGTGACAATACTCTGCCAATATGTTTCCATAGTTTTCACATTCATTTTCCAGTCCTTTACATAACATGACAATTTATAATCAACAAAACTCAACTCCTTCGTTACTTCACAACACTGATAGCATGACATACTGACAGTCAACTATTGTGTGTGTGAATGCTGAAACAGGATAGCCACTTTGCTGACTGGCTCATATGAAATAAGATAAAAATGATCCTTTATATCGTTTCCATCTGGAGGATCGGAGTCAACGGAAAAGGAAGGCCACTTTCAAGCCTCAAGGTCTAGGCCGCCAGACGCCAGTTGGCAGTCACCACCAAATTTATAATAGATTAATTCATTATTATACTTTGAGACCCTTAGGTCACTGGATCGGCATCACATTTTCAGTTTCAATATAGTAAAGGTTTTTATTTGTATGATGTGAAATATTTTCCTGAATCAGAATTTAATTATCCCTAGGTACCTGGTAGAGGTTTTGGATTTAATGCTCATTGTTGGTGTGCAGTCAGGATTTTTTGACAGGTCCAGATAGGGAATCCTGAGCAATTTTATAGTAAAGTGGTCTCCTTATAATCACCACACATTTTATCAAAAGCATTTGCAGAATTCATTCAATGAAGAATTTTATCAATGTTGCACCCATTTCTTAGACGACCTAGGCTGCATCTTTTTTTAGTTCCTGTTGTATGACATATTTTCCGTTTTGTTCCACTGCATAAAGAAAAAAATCGTTTGAGATCACCAAACAGCTTTTCTTTTTCTGGCAGGTCTACACAACCAAGCGGTCGCTGGCGAGGACGTCGGCCGTCCCTGTGGGTAAGGTCATCTGCTCAGCCTTTGTGGAGATCAGCAAGACGTCACCAAGATGAAGACTTCGCTGGAGCAGAAGCCGCTGACCCGTGTCCGATCAGGCAGGTCATGCTCGACGGGACGAGCCACAACTTGAACGACTCGGTGACATCAACAACATGGTGGAGCAGGTGAATGAGTTTGGCTACGTGTTGTGCGACTGCAAGAAGGGTTGTCTGCGTGTTCTGGCTGGCGGAGCGGCGACGCTGCGCGGTCTGTGGGCTGGCGGTGAGCAGCTGGCCGTGGTGACCGCGCGCGCCCACATGCGCCGACAACCTGTGCGGCTTCGACGGCCCCGGGACAGCCCGATGCCGCCCACTATGCGACGCCGACCGCGCACTGTCTGCACGGCCACATGGAGGTGTGCCCGCGCCTTTTGCCCGCACGCCGCTACCTCGCAGCTGGTCTGCAACCACGCCGTCGCCGCCTGTAGCCCGATAACAAAACGGCTGTCCGATAATGCCGCGTGTTCTTTGTGATGTTGCTACTGTGATGGTTGCTACTGCTGGTCTGAGACTCGATGTTTCCATTCGTCCTTTACATGTTAAGGATTTGATAATGATTAGCTTAGTCCAAGCTTAGGTCGTTTATATCATTTGTTATATGGCATATTTTGGATCAAAGCAGTACGACACTGCCTCCTGCTTTTGTGATGTATGCTGGCAAGACGCAGGTTCCGGTCGCAGGTCACCCGGTTCCAATGTGGTCGGGCTGGCATGCGATAATGTGATGTTGTTTTGCTCGTCTCTGTGTTCCACACTTGATGATGATTGTGAATCTAACCCACATTGTATAGTATTTTTGTTTGTTTGCGGCCGATGGCCTTGTAAGTTGTAACCGTGGCAATACAGTTTTTCCTGCTATTATTCTCCAATATTCAAGCGTGGGTGGATGTCTTTCTGTATTCACGTATTCCCTTCTCCCAGTACAGTCAGAGAATATCAATACAGTATTCATACGGATTATTCA